ATTGATAAATCACATAACTGGAAATCACCCGGCTCTGATCAAATCCACAACTACTGGTATAAAAAACTCACCTATTTACATACATATCTTCACCATTTTATTAACGATTTTATTACAAATCCTCAAAATATGCCCACCTTTATAACAACTGGAATAACTTACATGATAGCAAAAGATAAAAATGATACATTAAACCCCAGTAAATATAGGCCAATAACTTGCTTACAAACAATCTACAAAATAATCACGTCGTGTATTGCCCACATTATATATAATCACACAGAACTTAATGAAATACTGACAGAGCAACAGAAAGGTTGCAAAAAATATAGCCAAGGTTGCAAGGAGCAACTTACAATAGACTCAGTAATCCTTAAACAAGTAAAGAAACACAAAACAGATTTATACTCTATGTACATTGATTATAAAAAAGCTTACGACTCCGTACCTCATAGCTGGTTACTCCGCATCTTAAATATTTACAAAATCCACCCCACAATCATACAATTTTTAGAAAGCACTATGCAAACATGGACAACACAACTAAAAATCAACACAGATGCAGGTACTTTACACTCCGAACCAATAAAAATCAAACGGGGCATCTTCCAAGGGGATGCGCTTAGCCCGCTATGGTTCTGCCTAGCCCTCAACCCTTTATCAAATAAGCTGAATTCAACAGATCTTGGATACACACTAACAGAGCACACTAATACAGAGACACTCAGTGAAACGGTAAGCCATCTTATGTATATGGATGATATTAAACTATATGCATCGTCAGAAACTGATCTTGAAATACTTGCGAATATTACGGAGAAATTTTCCCTTGACATAAATATGGAATTCGGAATAGATAAATGTAAGATTAATTCTGTCAAAAGAGGCCAGCGTTACCAGCATTCCTACCAATTAGATACAGGAGAGATCATTACTCCTTTAGAGGAAAACGACACTTACAAATATTTAGGCTATAATCAATCCAACCTAATAGATCACAAACATACTAAAGACAACCTGAAAAAACAATTTAGAATCCGACTTAATGCTATCTTATCTACACAGCTAAACTCTGGAAGTATGATCAAAGCCATAAATACATACGCCATACCCATCCTTACATATTCTTTTGGAATAATTAACTGGTCAAAAACGGAATTAAAGACACTACAACGTATCATAAACACAAGCATGACAAAACACCGAAAGCACCACCCTCGATCATGCGTACAGCGGCTAACACTACCACGGACAGACGGAGGAAGAGGCCTAATAGATATAGTCAATTTACACGCCAAGCAGATCACTAACCTACGCGCTTATTTCCACAGTAAATCACAGACATCATTACTACATAGACTCATCTCACAGAACGATTGTAAGCTCACACCTTTAAATCTAATAGATCAAAACACACAAAAATGTGAAAAGCAGACTCACAAAGACACCAAATTACAAGAGTGGATTAGGAAATCTCTCCACGGGCGGCATCTCCAAGATCTTCTCCACAACAACGTCGACTGCAAGGCGTCGAACGAGTGGCTGAAGCGAGGAGAGCTATTCCCGGAGACGGAGGGATTCATTATAGCTATACAGGACCAAATTATAGAAACGCGGAATTACCAAAAATATATCATGAAGTTGCCCAATTCACAGAACGATATCTGCAGACGATGCAATAGTTCTCCGGAAACGATACAACATATCACAGGTGCATGTAAGGCCATAGTCCAAACAGACTATAAATACCGCCATGATCAGGTCGCAAACATAATTCATCAAGCAATAGCCCAGAAATATAAACTACTAACTCCACCATCCACCCCATATTACAAGTACAACCCAGAAACCATTTTGGAAAATACCTCTCATAAACTGTATTTTGACCGCGCGATTCTTACCGACAAAACAGTCCATTATAACAGGCCAGACATAACCCTAATTGATAAACTCAATAAAACTGCACAGCTGATCGATATTGCTATCCCCAATACACACAACCTCCAAAAAACAATAGCTGAAAAACTTTCCAAATACACAGATCTTAAGGACGAAATAACACGCATGTGGAGGTTAAATAAAGTCAATATAGTGCCTATAGTTCTTTCCACGACAGGAGTCATTCCTGTACAGCTGATCCCGTCACTTAGAAGCTTAGACTTACCCGAATATATTTCGACACAATTACAAAAGGCCAGCATTCTAAATACATGCAGAATTGTCCGTAAATTTTTACAGTCGTCTTCAAATAGTTGAGTCCCAATACTGCTCAATAGATTTTTCTAATTAGGTAACTAATATTGTACTGATATTCACTTGGTTCAGGCCCGTGAATATCATTAAAACACCGATGGCTAAGACATCGAGATACACAATGTGTAAACAAAAATAATAATAAATATCCTTAGACATTTTACACTGCGCTTCTAGTCCCAAACTAAGCAAAGCTTGTACTATGGGTACTAGACGACGGATATAAACATACTTAAATACTTTTTTTTTTTGTAAATACATACTTATTATACATAGAAAACACCCAGTCCAATACAAACAAATATGTTCATGCACACCAATGTTTGTTGTTGCAATGTTCTAGTCCCAAACTAAGCAAAGCTAGTACTATGGGTACTAGACGACGGATATAAACATACTTAAATACTTTTTTTTTTGTAAATACATACTTATTATATAGCCTGACCAGGAACATAAAAACCCTGGCATAGAGGCGCGTCAATCGCATTTGATAGTGCAACACTGAGTACAGTCGTACCTGTGTTAAATTAATAGGCTAACTTTATGTATCAGGATTCAGGATTACGGGCTAATTTGATATTTTCATAAATTAACCAAAAAATATTATTATAGGTAACCTGGTTTAAATAAATTAAATGAAACCATCAATCGAGCTAGTTGGATTTATTTTATTATTCATCAATAATCAAATTCAGAACTTGAATATTCAACTGCAATGTTTGGTCATGAACGCTTCAACCTCGGTACTTCTTTCCCAATTCCATAAAATTCAACACTTAGAAAGTGACAGAAAATTTTAAAATAGGTATAGTTGAAACAAACCACAGCTAATTTTCATAGTGGACTGTACTATACGATAAACATGTCAGTTAATTTGACAACCTTTGTCGGAAACATTATTCAATGAAAATATTGTCCGAACCCTTGGTATTTCTCTTCGACAAATACTTTAACACATTGTGAACCACTTTTCTTTCACGACTATAAAAAGATTTTAGCAATTTATTTCACAAAATCAATTGCACACATTTAAAATAAAGTTTGTTTACACTTTGACAGCAATAGACTGACATGCAAGGTGACATGTCAATGAAGTTTTCAGTTACTGTTGCCATTAAAAGAAATTAGTACCATTAGTTTTCCGCAACATGGCGAGGGTTTTTATGTTCCTGGTAAGGCTATACATAGAAAACACCCAGTCCAATACAAACAAATATGTTCATGCACACCAATGTTTGTAATAAAATAAATAAATCTTTGGACAATAATAATAATTAGGCGAGGTGTATTTTGAATTTTAGTGGGTTATTTTCCCGGTGCTATGTAGGTAGACGTACGTACATACATAGTACATGGAACACTCTGTTAAATATGTATAACCAAAACATATTTAAAATATGCAATTTTCTGTTTTACTAAATTCATTTAATATACATTGGACCAAAGGACCAAACCGACGTCATTATTAAAGTTAATTGATTTATTTATTAACCTCTTTGAATGTTAATTTAAAGCTAATTAATGATTTTTTTTTATGTTTGAAGTTAAATTGGTTTACATAAATATGTTTGTTAATTAATATCAGTCCTCGATGTTTTAAATGTAAATAACAAGTTTAACTTATGATGTCAAACACAAAATCAAGTTAAAATTCAAACAATGAACTAAAAAATAAATTATACATCAAGAAGCAATTTAGTTATCAATGTCGAATCACTTTCGTTTCTTGAATCTTTGCCGACATTTAACAAATCGTGACCTGTTGCATTTCCGTGACGGCCGACGTAAAGCTAAGGTTACATTACTGGAGTATTAATACTAATGCCATAATCGATACTCAATCGTGAAAACTGTTAGTTAAAATCTTCTTGTATTTAACTGGATTCGCATATGTTTAAGTAATGTTAAGTAAAAACACCTGTTAACTTGAAAGTTCTTAGTGGAAATTATTATCAATAGCCATTCTTAATCCTAACTTCAAGCCCAGCGCTATTGTGTTCCCAGCTTTAGCAACTCGTGCCTCGATAACATCGCGGCAAACGGCAATGTGCCGCTCGAGGGAAAAACTTCAGATTAACCAAACAATTGCCCTCTGTCAATAGACAAGTGCGCGTTATGACTTGTAGTCACGCAGTACAACGACTTATTAAAACAACGGTATACCTTTTGCTATAACGGTACTTCTAGATTTCTCTGTAAATATGTTATCTGTCAATACTATTCAAATATTCCGTTAAAGTATCATCAAGCGGTTCTAATACACAGAAATTAATATGAAGATAAGATTAAGTGCAATACTAAGCAATGATGACTACCTTCGAGTACTAAAACGGTGACTGATTGAGTACTGCGTTTCTTGCGCTGATCTTCTCGGCACTCCTCGCCCATTTGTTTTCCCGAAGCAGTGTAGGGTTAAAGTAATACTGTGATGTGTAAAAGCGCTTTTTAAAAGCCTATTTGCAATATTATAGACTATCTAGTTTAGTCTACTATCAAGTTAATAACTTGATCATAAGATGCATAGATCTCTATATCCCTTGGCGCAGAACATCGATTTTTCGTCGGCTTATAGTTTAGTCGGGCAGTTAATCAGTATGGGCATGTATGGAAGTGCGCACATTACACCGATTTGATTTTCATACAAATTAAAATCGGGCCCAACTATTGGCCAACTAAAAGTAGGTGGTCTGCGCCAAGGCTAAGATTTATCAAATTCCTTGAAACTTATTACAAAATATCTTCCACAGATCAGCGGAGCGATACGTCAGAGTGAAATGGCGAGACGTGCGAGTGGGGGACCTGGTGCACTTGTCGAACAACGAGGCGGTGCCGGCGGACATGGTCCTCCTGCAGTCTTCCAACCCGCTCGGCATCTGCTACCTCGACACGTGCAACCTGGACGGCGAGACCAACCTGAAGCAGAGGATAGTGGCGCCAGGTTTCAGGGACAAGGTACGGCAGTCTTTTCACGAAGAAGATTCGCTTCTATTGAATACATTTATAGTGGCGACACGTCGCCTGCTGCTGCTGCGTGTACGTGCGAGTGGGTGACCTGGTGCACTTGTCGAACAACGAAGCGGTGCCGCGGACATGGTTCTCCTGCAGTCTTCCAACCCGCTCGGAATCTGCTACCTCGACACGTGCAACCTGGACGGCGAGACCAACCTGAAGCAGAGGATAGTGGCGCCAGGTTTCAGGGACAAGGTACGGCAGTCTTTTCACGGTGAAGATTCACTCCTGTTAAATACATACTCTTATAGGGTGATATGTCGCCTGCTGCTGCTGCTTGTAGTCGTCAGATTTGAACTTTAAGGTTAAAGATAGAGTTGGATGCAAGTGGTTGGCAGAGGCCTTTGTCCAGTCCAGAGCGTAAATATGTCTACTGGAATCGTTTACGCAACAAATAAGATTTCTATGTTTTTGACTGCTTGAATCGTATAAAATCATAAGATGCATTCTTGGAGAGCTATTAAGTACAATTCTTGTTATTACTGATAAGCCGTCTAATCTCGGAGATAAACGTTAATTTTATGACATGTACTTATGTATGTCACCGGAAAATAACAAGACTCGTAAGTTGATCAATTTTCTAGGAAGTTGATCAACTCTCGGAAAATAACAAACGGCAGTTGAAATGTACTATTTAACGCATCGAATTTTAGCTAATTGGTCAACTTACGGTATCTAGCCGTAATTTAATAATTAACTATATTGCTACAAGTAAAATTATCCACAAATGGGCCAATCGTTGCCCAGAGTACTATTTGACGGTACACTATTATCCGTCACTTAATACACTTTTCTCTGATTGGTCGACAGCATTAATTATAAGCATTTAGCAAGTGTTTATTCATTGAGTTACAAACACTTAGATTATATGTATTGTTTAAATATTTACATTTTAGAGATAGGGATATTAAAGTTCGTCTATGCTATATAGTTAAATAAATGAAAAATGTTAAAAAAAATATTGGAGCTTAGAGTTTTATTATTGTAAGTTATATTAATAATAAGTAAGTTTGTTTATATCTACTACTACAGACTGCATTTCACTCATCATAAATAAAATGACGCGTTATAATGAAAATTATTACCACACAAAACAACAATTGCTAATTTTACTACTTTAAATAAAGAAAATAGATAGATTTGTTTACGTTTAAACCGGTAATGGCGGCGGGGAGCGGTATAAAAGCACGTGAGTCTTTTAACCAATCAACGTGCACCTTGCCTTTGTCGGATGATTTAACGGCAAGACGCCGTAAATTAATCAACTTACTAAAATACATACGTTAAATAGTACATTTCAAATGCCGTTTATTATTTTCCGAGAGTTGATCAACTACCTAGAAAATTGATCAACTTACGAGTCTTATTATTTTCCGGTGACATGTATATTTCAGCTAAACCACGTAGTAAATATTTTAAAACAATATACTCTTAGCAAATGTTATTCCACTCATACGTAATGTTTTGCAATCGTTACATCCCAAAACTGTTGTCACACATCACACAGTAATATTATGTGGTCGATGTTTGAGAGCATGACATGTATCATTGACCCACATTTGTAAAACAATAACTTGTGGTGTTTGCATAGTTTGCTTCATGTAATATCATTTATATAGTAGCCAGCCCATCACTTACTTGAAACGCAAACGAATAACATTTGCTCCCTGTATTACGCAAATTGCTTTGAACGCTTTGCAACTATCAAAACTATCATGCATGTAGCTGTTGTCAATTTATTACGTACCTACGTTACAAAGGCAGATCTTGCATTGCCCCAAATCGTAAATCAACAAAATTGGCACTATAAATTGAGAGAACCTATTAACCTCATTTCAAGAGTTGCAAGTTATATCAAATGGCGCTTTCATAAGTTGATGGCCATAATAATGACAATAACCAAAGTTGTAGATTATTATCAATGTTTAGGTAAAAGAAACGGAGCGTGAGAATGACTTTCTCCGATAAATTTCTATTCAAATAGAAGTAATTTGGAAAAGCAGTTTCGAGTCCAATTTTCTTTTGTCATCGTGAATTGTTTTGTGCTCACGACATCCTATTATTTTCAGCAAGCGGAATTCAATCCACTAAAATTCCGGAGTTCAGTGGAAGTTGAACGACCCTCTACAAAAATATATCGGTTTAATGGCACGATATCCCACCCAAACGGGGACAGAGTACCGCTTAACTCCGAAAATCTGCTATTGAGGGATTGCTTAATCAAAAACACTGATTACGTAGAAGGAATCGTGGTATACGCGGGACACGAAACAAAAGCTATGCTCAACAATGGTGGTCCCAGGTACAAATGTTCAGGTTTAGAAAGAAAAATGAACACTGATGTCATATGGTGCGTTCTGGTGCTTCTCTTCCTCTGCTGTGCCGGCGCTGTCGGCTGTAAAGTATGGTTAGACCAATACCATCCTCTGGTGGCCAAATTCACGCCGTTTCTTCCACAACCGGGCAAGCCGGCATACGAAGGGCTGCTCATATTCTGGACTTACATAATAGTGTTACAAGTCATGATACCGGTGTCTCTCTACGTTACGATCGAAATGACGAAACTGCTGCAAGTGTACCACATACACCAGGACGTCGAGATGTACGATCCTGAGACGAACACGCGGGTGGAGTGTCGAGCGTTGAACATCACGGAGGAGTTGGGGCAGATCAATTACTTGTTCAGTGACAAGACGGGGACGCTGACGGAGAATAAGATGGTGTTCAGGCGGTGTACAGTGAACGGCGTGGACTACGACCACCCGCCCGGGCCGCCCACCGAGCCGTCGGCCGAGCTGCCGCCCATCGTCACGCCCATCACCAGCGTGTCGCCCAACAGGAGGATGCTCCAGCACTTGTTGGACAACAACGACGCTCAGCATACGCAAAAGGTAAGCTACATTTTTCACAAATCTCTACAAGTCATAGTCTTTTTATAAAAAATATTTATAGCTACCGCGGATATTACCCATGCGATAGTAGCGGATAAACCCGAAAATAATGTGAGGAAAGGTGCTGCACGTTAATATTGATGTTTTCCTGTTGAAAATTGACTGAACGTCCTTAAAATTTATTAATAATACGGGTCATTTGCAACAAATTTAGACTACTTTTACACTAATATTATACATAAAAGATTTTTTTTATTGAATAGGCTCCAAAACTACTGGACCGATTTGAAAATTCTTTTACCATTACAATCCTTCATTATTTCGATTCGCCGGATCAGCTGGTTATGTATAATTTATGACCGACACAGCTCGCTCGATGCTGCGGCAGTTCAATTTTATCCAAATCAATCTCTTTCTTCATTTTCTCCATTTACTTCTTCTCCTCTGACACCGTCACATCTTCTTTCAAGTTGACTTCAGCAAACTTCACTTTATTCGCCTCAGTGCTATCTCTTTCCTTCCTCTTCTTCTCAGTACAATCAGGATCGTACTGCTCCGAAATGGGGATACGTTCAGTCAAAACGAATATAAATTGCGGCTTTAAAAACTCAATTTATTCGGGCAGGTCCGCGAGTTCCTGCTGATATTGGCAGTTTGCAACACGGTGGTGGTGAGCCTGCCGCACGTGGACTCTATGCAGTTGAGCGACTCCACCTCGGGAGACGTGCAGAAACCCTCGCGCTCCAACGGCACCCTTCGATCCAACGACAAGTGAGTGTTTACATTGAACAATAGCATACATTGAGGCGCGGTGAACCCGGCGCCTTAACCCTTGACCTTTTTGGGTACTTTGATTTAATCAATATTTCTAAATCTTGTCCGCCTCTCGCCACCTCAGGGCAGGGCTGACACGGGATCTCAATCTTATTCATAGTGCTTGCGCTTGAATGAACAGATTAACTAAGTATGTGTTTAATTTATTCAAAATTAAGTTGTGATACCTGCCAATTTTCACAAAACTGCGTCATATTAGGAAAAAATCTATTAAATTGAGCAGGATTTTCGTTATTGAACTTAAGAAACCATTTAAGCCATTTAGCCTGTAAAAATATTAGTCTTGCTAACCGCATTGTCCATTGTAATTAGCGACAGGCGACAAAGCACACGTTCAAGGTCTTCGTATTGGCAAAATCGTCGAGTTAATTAGTCGACAGTTAAAACAATACAAAAAAAATCCTGTTTAAATAAGCCTGAATGAGACATTTCAATAACGTGATCAAACGGTTGATAGAAGTATTGTAATGCATGTTACAGCAGTAAATATATTGTAACATATTTTATTTATAAGCATTATTTTGCTCACAGCTGGTACGTTCTTATTTAAAAATATCGATTCCTATCGCTCCCATTGGATTTTATCAGCTGATACATATTATAGTTTCACTACCATAATGGTTCTATCTTTATAAATGTGCAAACTGAGAGCATTTTATGACGTAATAAGAGCGATATTACAAAAAAAACATATAATTCAATGTGCTGTACGTACATCATCATTTCTCTTATTGAGTATCACAGCGCAGCGACTGCTAAAAACAGGTCTGCCAGATGTAATACCATTTCAATATTGGTTCTTATATTGGTTTCTAAGCTCTAGTTTAAATAAATATTGATCGATCAACAGCACAGCTAACAGGATAACGTTAATGTGTAGGTTGAATTAATGGATGTGTTTAACTTGTATGTTATTGGTTAGTCTCTTATTTATACGCATGAATTGTTAAGAATATTTTAATACTATTGGTATGGTTCTCTTTTATACGATAAATCTAATAACAGCAATAATGAGATTCTTCAAAATTTAAATTATTTCTAAAAATGTAAGCTGCTCTTTAGTGATATGATGTCACTTCTAAAATCGCAATGCATTCTTTTTATTTTTAGTAATGCATGAGTACATTCGCAATTTATTTTTAGTGATCACCATCCATGTCTATATAGCCTAGAAAACGGTATTTTAAATGTTCGTATTTTAAGAAGTGACTTCACTTCAACATCTTTTCTCCGACGTTCTTTTTAAAAGAAAAGCATTTATGTTTTTGCAGAAATATAAATGAAGAAAAGACTGCATTTATAGCAGCGTTTTAAAGCCTTCGCGGCATGACTTTCAATCAAGTGATATGCAAAAGTTTCTTGTAAAAAACATTATTGTAGGCTATTCATTTAGATTTATGAAAGTAAATTTTTTAATTTAAAAAAATAGCTTATTTTGTTGGGTTCCATTAGATTGGATTAGACCAGTCTAACTGTTGATCCTGGCTATGATAATACAGCTCCGCTAGGCAAAACGTCACACTTGTAATTTGGAAATGCCTTTTCTCTACCGTTTTTTGTATGAAGTTACTCCGTGAACGAATTCGATTTTTGGAGTGATCAAAAGTGCCACTTGACTAGGCCCGCAGAAGTTGCAGTGGTGGGAAAGAGAGGCGTCATTGACTTACTTGACTTGTCATATGTCCCCTAGAAGGGGCAAAGGGCGTCCACAACAGTCCTCCATCGCGTTCGGCCTTGAGCTTCGTGTTTGATCTCGCTCCAAGTCTTGCCGATCTTCTTCGCCTCGTCTGCTACAGTGCGCCGCCAAGTTTGTTTGGGGATTAGACCCGTATTTATTGCTGTGAGCTGTTCAAAATTCAAATGATAATTCGGCGTTTTTCTTCCATAGATACGCCAGACTGACTGAATCCCGGTCGACGACGCCGTCGCCGCCGCCCTCCACCTCACCCCTCAGAATTCGTCTGCCGAAGCTGCCTTTTGGCTCGCGAGAGGAGACTGAGAGCGAGCCTAGTACATCGACTGCAGAGCAGCAGGTAAGCATCAGGGCCGTCTTTAAGCTACTAGGGGCCCTGGGCACTTAAGTGGGGCACTTATCATCTGGAAAAAGGTCTTTTGATCAGATGGGGGCCCCCTGGGCATGTGCCCAAAGTGCCCCGTAGGAAATGGGCCTGAATACAGGAGATTTACGCCCGTATTCACAAACGATTCTTGCTTAAGTGAAGCAGCAAATCGAACGCACAGCGTTAAATAGAGCTCTGTGATTCGTTCGTATGTCACCCTGTGCGTTCACGCGCATTTTGAGACCTCATAGTAATGTTTGTGAATACGGGCGTTAGGACTGTTGTAAGGAAGGCTTAAGTTGAGACATGTTTGGACGTAACTAGCTTTTTAGCTTTTCAGCTTTTTAGTATAGTGACCTTATTACATCACTGTTTGCCAATGAGTGACTCGTCGAAATCGGTCCAGCAATTTGGAGATTAGCCAGAGCAAACAGACAGACAATTATTTCTAAACCATGAATATAAACATTATAAACAGACGCTTCAGTTTATTTGGAATTCTAGATTACAGATGATACCTACATCTATTAATAGAAAGTTAGGTTTTCAGTCATTCTAGTCTACAAGATTAAACACAACTATCTATCTACCTTTGCGTTTACTTAAACTTAGATCACCTAGATCGGTAATTAATAAAAGTTATGATAGATTATCTTCATGTCATTCAATCTACGTTAATGTTTTAAGTAAAACCAATGGTGAAACTTAACAGCACATACACAAACAGTTGACTGAACAAAGTCACAGTTCCTGAACGAGTCGATAAAAGTTGACGGCACGCGGCATGTCGTATCACGGCCAACATCTGTGATTGGTTAGCGTGCAAGTGACAACTGATAATGATGACTTGTCATTAAGCGATTAATTATGTCACCTTACCAAGAAACCGGAGTTAAATCGGTTAATGTAAAAAGGAGTAATTCATAACATATTTTAAATGATGTTTTTTGTATCCGTTACCAATTATTATATTATTCTAGTAAAATAAATTACTGCAGCATAATATTTTGACTTTAATTAGTCATTTACTCCCACATACACCATATTTTTATACTTATTCAAGTCGTTTTGCGTAACTAAAAATGCAAATATTTAACGATTAGCTCTCCACGGTGCAATTGAAACGGTTAATTGAGACATTAAATATCACAAAAAGTCAAGTAAATTGTCTACTTATAACGTAAACCGCAGCGAAATGCGGAACCAATCGAGCCGCGGAAAAAGTGTAATCAAATAACTACAATAATTGCAACGCAATGAATTTGTCGGTATTTACAATATTATGTAAAGGCAAAGTGCCCTGTTACGCTTTTACCTATTAGTAACTACGAGGGCTGCACTAAAAGTATCGGGAATGGAATATTTCCACTGTTCCTGTCATATTAAAATCGATTTAATTGCAAACTCCAGGGTTTTAAAAATCGTATACCATTTATTTATTTAAAAAAAGATTCTCGGTCGTATCACAAGGTCTTGTCAAACTTGTTTAGTCGTTGAGAAAATGGAATTGACTCGAGAAAATTCAAGAGCGATGATTTATTATGACTTTTGAAGTGGTTTAACACAAAAACAGTGTGTTGACCGGATGATTTCTGCATTTGGTAATGAAGCCCCATCCAAAACCACAATTTATCGCTGGTTTGCTGAATTTCAACGTGGACGTGTCAAGCTCAGTGATGATCCCCGTCAAGGTCGTCCAAAACTGTAGTCACCCAAGAAAACGTTGATGCTGTGCGTAAGCTGATTGAAGTAGATCGACATGTGACATACCGCGAAATTCAGGCAACTTTAGACATTGGCATGAGTCAAATACAAATAATCTTGCATGAACAATTAGGTGTAAAAAAGTTGTTTTCCCCATAGATACCGCATTCGCTCCGTGAAGAGCAAAAAGCGGCTCGCGTTACTTGGTGCGTCAGAACTCTCGAAAGATTACACGTAGGATCCTCAAATGCTGTATACAACATCGTATCAGGTGACGAATCCTGGATAACGCGAACGAACCCGAAACAAAAAACCAGTCACGAGTTTGGGTGTTCGAAAATGAGTTAAAGCCAACAAAAATTGTTCGTTCACGGAGTGTTGCAAAAAAAATGGTGGCCACGTTTGTGTCCAAAACCGGCCATGTTGCGACTATTCCTCTTGGGGGACAAAGAACGGTTAATGCAGAATGGTATGCTAGCATTTGTTTGCCACAGGTCGTTTCTGAACTCCGTAAAGAGAACTGCAACCGCCGCATCATCCTCCATCACGACAATGCGAGTTCTCACACCGCGCACAGAACAAAAGAGTTTTTAGAGCAAGAAACCATAGAATTATTGGACCATCCGCCGTACAGCCCCGACCTAAGCCCTAATGATTTCTATACTTTCCCTAAAATAAAGAATAAATTGCGTGGTCAGAGATTTTCATCACCTGAAGAAGCTGTGGACGCCTACAAAACGGCCATTTTGGAGACCCAAACTTCCGAATGGAATGGTTGCTTCAATGATTGGTTTCGTGTATGGAAAAATGTGTCTAATTTCGCGGAGAATACTTTAAAAAGCAATAAATACATTTTTAAATAGTAATTTTGTTTCACTTCCTTGATTCCCGAAATTTTCAGTGCCGCCCTCGTACTTCACATGCCAAACGCTATGTTTTACGAGTTAATCGTGTTCGTGGCTGATTGTTGTATCGCAGTTATAAAATATGCGCAATGCAATGGATAATGGATAAAATTTTCCTTATTAATGTCGATTCTAATTTTGTGTGTTATTAACGATATAAAATAGTATTATAACACCGTTATAATAACTAAACGAAACTGTCAATCTTTATGTTAGTGCAATCAAAAAACAATTGGGAGAGAGTAATAATAACAAATATAGCGTTATCACACAAAATATGTGAGAAAATTTTTCCTCAACATGCAGTGCTAATGGTTTCCCGATAAGTAATAATATCTCAATAATTTGAGAGAACAATAGCCCAGCAACGGTGTAAGTGATAAACTGCTGATTCGTGGGTCAGTAGTTTAAACCCCGCTGCCACTGGACTGTTGTGGTGGACCCACTCGTAACACAAGCATAATATTTAGCTCAGCTAGAGAAGTTAACGGGATTAGTGATTTGTCATTTTTATCCACCAGTTTGCGCGCTACGAGGCGGAAAGTCCCGACGAGCTGGCGCTAGCGGAGGCAGCGCTCGCGTACGAATACGAGCTACGGTGCCGCGCGCCCGACGAGGTCGAGGTCGGCATACGAGGCGAGCTTACGAGGCTCAAGGTGCTGAGGGTGCAGCCCTTCGACTCCGTGCGGAAGTGCATGTCCGTGGCGATACGCACGCCCACGGGACAGGTGAGAACACTAACTGCTCGACTGTTCATAGACGATAATAAACATACTAAACATAGATGCCGCGTACTTAACGAGGTCGAGGTCGGGATACGAGGCAAGCTGACTCCACTCAAGGTGCTGAGGGTCCAGCCCTTTGCCTCTGTGCGGAAGTGCATGTCCGTCCCTATACGCACGCCTACGGGACTAGTGAGAACTGAGAACGTTAACTGCTCGACTGTTCATAGACGATAATAAACAAACATAATAGCAGAGCTGCGGTACGCGCGCTCTACGAGGTCAAGTTTGATATACGAGGCGAGCTTACGAGGCTCAAGGTGCTGAGGGTCCAGCCCTTCGACTCCATGCGGAAGTGCATGTCCGTGGCGATACGCACGCCCACTGGACAGGTGAGAACACTAACTGCTCGACTGTTCATAGATATATCGTTCCATCCACGAAGACGCGCCTCACCATTTTTCCGCTAATATTATATTAAGATGATAGTGATAAATTATTCAATTTTTTATTCTAAAACATTAAAACAATAAAGTAATTAGAAGAATTTTTTTATAATTAAAAAAAAGGTTTATGTATTTTAAAAAATCTCACGTGAGATTGTGGGGAGGGGGAGGGGGTCTGGAAAAATCTCACCAAGGGGGGCGGGGGGGTTGAAAAATTGCCAAAATTGTCTCACGTAATTAATTTTTTTTTTTTTTTTTTTTTTTTTTTTTTTTTTTTTATGTGATAGGACGCCCCCTAAGACTTCAAGAAGTATGAAAGTGGTAGATCGCCCAGGGTTTCGTTAGTAAACAGTAGATCTTAGGTATGTCTAATTAAGTTTGCCACCCCTGATCTATCTATACTAATATTATAAATGGGAAAGTAACTCTGTCTGTCTGTCTGTCTGTCTCTCTTTCACGCCTAAACCACTGAACCGATTTTAATGAAATTTCTCATAGAGATAGTTTTTGTCCCGGGAAAGGACATAGGATAGTTTTTATTCCGGTTTTTGAAACAGAGACGTGCGCGATAAAGTTTTTCTGTGACAGACAAAATTCGACGCGGGCGAAGCCGCGGGCGGAAATCTAGTATGCTATAATATAGTAAACTAATAGAGTAGTAAGTAGAGCTGCGGTACGCGCACCCGACGAGGTCGAGGTCGGGATACGAGGCGAGCTGACCCCGCTCAAGGTGCGGAGGGTTCAGCCCTTCGACTCCATGCGGAAGTGCATTTCCTTCGCCATAGGCACGATGCCCACGGGACAGGTGAGAACTGAGAACGATGACTAATCGACTATGAATAAATGATAGATTAGAGTAAAAATAGACTTAGTGGAGGTTGATCCAAAATTGAGGATGACGCCGTTCGACTTCGCGCGGAAATACATGTCCATTGCTGCAAAAGACAAGTGAAACCACAAACTGATCTACTAATAAGAACCGCATTTGTCTAAGTTAAGTTTTCGTTCAAGCTCGACAATTTAATATAATGAAAAGAAATCATTTAAGGAAACCAGCATTCGGTATAAAAACGTGATCAGTTCTCACAAATAAAATAATAAATAGTGACATTATGAAACGTAATAAAATGACCTTCATAAGTCCTTGTATAATTATTTACAAAGGCCAAAAACTAGATCACATGCTGGCTGTGGTCTCATATGTAAAACATGTAGTTTTTGCAAATGTGTGTCATTGAAACAGTCATAATAAATCTTTATTCTAATATTGTAAGAATAAAAAAAACAAAGTAATAAATAACAAGGCGCCTTCAGATATCCTCAGGGCACTTGTTGGTGACGGCAACGCACATATGTTACAAGTATACTAGTAATTAAAAAAAACTGATAGAAGTTGTTGCAAATTCAGATCTTCGTGCGTTGATAATAACTTCTACTGTTGCTTTGTCAACTTTTGGACGCCATAATTTTAGATGATAATTTTGAACCTTCGTTCCAAATAGGTGAAGTGCAATCTCAAACCCTCGTCTCAAGTACAATCTCGTGCGAAGTGCTCTCACAAGATTACAAGAAAAGAAATCTTGTAAAAAATCGTAGCGTCTAGCATTCTTGTCTTGATCAATTAAGAATCAACACCCCAATCAATGTTATCTGGTATTTGAAACTGGAGATAAATCACGTTTCTTTAAGTACGGCCACTTCTCTAATCTTAGTCGTTAACGACGTCATACCGATCCCAAAAAGCATGCAAGGAAATATTTATTTCGAAATTATAACAGCTGCATAAATCCGGGTTTCTCAGCGTAACAATGTGTGACAGTTCAGAGAACAGTGAGTCATTCAATCGGGAACGCACTGACCTGCGACTTATGACCGACTTTGCTCTCTGGGAAACCCACCTATTTCTTACGAACCTTAATGACCCTACGCGCACTCTACATGCAATAAATATTCCAAACGGTTTTTAATGGAAACGATTAAATTGAAATTTTCAGAAACCATAATTATGTGTTATTGATATGATTTCCTAATGAATACATACGGAAAATACGCAAATGAAATTTGTTACTGCGATAAAGCACATTTTAAAATTTCAACGTCCTATTACCGATTTAGTATCCGATGAGTGGTTTAAAATTGATGAAGTGTGAACGCAACTCGTTTTGTGTTGTCTATGGGACATCTCTACTCTCTCCGGTCTATGGTCACGGTGTGCGCGTTTCTTTTGTTAAATTACTTTGATAAAATAAAACCAAGTTTATTTCTATCTAAAGATTTATTATTTCATCAAAAATTAATGCGGAAACTCCTTTAAATGGAGAACTCGTTCTACCGGGGGCTTGTCAATGTGCCCCAAATATGGCGCAGTTGTAATTATTGCAGTCGACCTCTAGGCCGCGCCAAAATAATCCAACCTTTAAGTGTCAAGACCAATTACAACATAATTGCATGTTAATTTCCTGTCTTCAAATAAATATGTATACATGACACGTGTGCGAGCGTTTCACGTGTGAATAGAAATAGAAGCGTAACAAAAGAATTACGTACTAATCACTTACGTATTTTTTTTATTGTTTTTAAAGCATTTTTGCCAATGCAACCGTATTGAATTGTAAAACGTTCGAATTTAATTTCATACGGATCCGCATAGCTCGCTCATCACATTTCGTTCAAGCTAAACAGTATCTTACATCGTTGTAATAGATGGTATTTTGTATTCATCAGTTAATCGATTCGCTGGGGCTCTATCTTTTCTACTTTGCACATTCAAAGATCGAATGACGTTATACTTCAAAAATGAATGAAACATTCACCAGATAGTTCTTACGCTAAAAATGAACAGTAAAAATACTCGAGAGATTTTCTTTAAAGTGGTCGGGCGATCATAAGCTCCATATTGACGATGATACATACTCTCACTTAAATAATAAATCAAGCCGACCCTCTCTTTTACTGTCTCCTCACGTTATCACTTATTATCATACTGAGTGAGTACTGACCCATAATTGTTTCCTGTCTGCTGAACTCGCAACGGACAAATTAACTGACTGACTCGTAAACCACAATAAGAAGAAATATCTCACAACGCCATTGATTGAGCCCGATTCGACCAAACTTTTATCCGAGAATAACTCTCACATTGACAGTTTCAGTATGGGAAATACGTCAAAATGTCGAATAGCTGACGACTGACGACTTATACTGAAATTAATATTTACTCTTGTTTGGTCGAATCCAACCTTAATAGAATTACTTTAGACAATAGGACCTCTCTATTTTGAATCCTCAATGATTCGTCTTAAAAAAACTTAGTGTGCAAAAAGATACCACACTGTGCACTCGATATAAAAGCTTTCGTAACATAAAGGTGTTCCTTATTTTGATAAACACTTTATTGTAAATCACACAAAACAAGAAAAGAAAGACATACATAGATCAAAATAAGTTGCCTAAATCAGGGTTTCCCAATTTTTTTTTGCCAAGGAACCCTAATTGATTATACTTTTCCTAGCGGAACCCCCGTACTACTCCGCCCGCACGCCCCTCCCTTGTGCGAAAACAAGTCGGTGCGAGCGAACAACGTCGGTCACGAAACGTGGGATAATATTTTTACGGAACCCTTGCGGCCTTTCCACGGAACCCCAGGGTTCCGCGGACCACCTTTCGGGAACCGCTGGCCTAGATCTTATTATTTAAAACTAACTACAATAAAACCTTTTGCATCTTCTAGGTGGTGCTATACGTGAAAGGCGCTGACAGCACAGTCCTGGGAGCCCTAGCGCCAATGCGCGCCGGCTCTGCCGAGTCGGCCGCCTACGAGAGGACCCGCTCGCTTCTGTCGGAATACTCGCGCGCGGGTCTACGGACGCTGGTCATGGCCAAGCGGACGATGCAACCGGCTCTTTGGGAGGAGTGGCTCGCTGGCCACGTGAGAGCTTCCGAGATTGGCGAAGGTAGGAATATCATACTTTATTTATGTAAAACGTATATGCACATAAAAAACCGTAGCGCCCATGCGCTCTGGCTGTGCCAAGGCGGCCGCCTACGAGAGGACCCGCTCGCTTCTGTCGGAATACTCGCGCGCGGGTCTACGGACGCTGGTCATGGCCAAGCGGACGATGCAACCGGCTCTCTGGGAGGAGTGGCTCGCTGGCCACGTCAGAGCTTCCGAGATTGGGGAAGGTAGGAATGTCATACTTTATTTATTTAAAACTTATATGTAAACTAGCTGTGCCCGCGACTTCGTCCGCGTGGACTAATGACTTTGGGTAGGCACTTTTAATAATTTAGTCTAATTATTTTACAAAGGCCTATGTTCAGCAGTGGACGTCCTATGGCTGAAATGATGATGATGATGATGATGATTTTACAAATAGCTTTTGCCCGCGACTTCGTCCGTGTAGAAGTCGAAAAAGTTCTCATAGGATTTTTAAATGGTTTTTAACGTTATTATCTAAATGTTTGAATACTATTTGATCGTTTAAACACAGTGAATGATTCAATTACATAAAATTTTAATGATACTTTTCACGGCTTCGCTCTCATGAATGTTAACGACCGTCAAAAGCACGTCGATAGATGGCGGTCACTAATTTAGACTTTGATTTGCTCGTTTAAACACAGTGAATTATTCAATTACATAAAATATCTATAATGACTAAATTTTAAATATTATGAACAGTTCTATAAATGTAATATTTAGTTCCTAATTAGGACTAATGATACGTTTCACGGCTTCGCTCTCATGAATGTTTACGACCGTCAAAAGCACGTCGATAGATGGCGTTTTTAAGGATATTTCTCACCTCTTAACTATTTATTGAAATTTAGTTTGTCACATATCGTCATAAATTGTAGCCTATATATTAGCCTGGGTTATAAATAATAATACTGTAAAGTTTCAACAAAATCCGTTTATTAGTTTTTGCGTGAAAGAGGAACAAACATCCAGACATCCAGACAAAAAGGTTACAGTGAGCCAACCATAAAAGATAGACATATGCTGTAGCGGACTTTTTTGTAGAACTTTTAAAGGGGAAAATCCTATCATACATAATTTATGCGAAACTTTAACCGTTTNTACTACGCTCACAAGAGCGCATTTTTTTTGTGTTTAGAATTGATCTACGTCACCGCTCAAGCGTCAGGGTTGTATGAGCAAAGTAAAATAAATAAAAACTTAATTTTAAGAAGCATTTATTGTATTTACGATTAGAAAACTTTAATCTAGTGGAGTTTGTATAATCGTACCATCTCTAAAGTACCTATTAATAAACTTCAGTGTTGCGATAATTCGAAATTAAACAAACAGTTTTAAAAGGTGTAGTGTCGGAAAATAGACACGGTGAAGTAAAGTTAATGTTTTTATTAGCTAAAATAATTGTTTTGCTATAGTTTTTTGTCATAAGTATTTCAAAATAATGTATTATTTAAAAAGTGTAGTTTTTTTATTTATTATTTAAATCACTACAGTTAATTATTATTCCTAAATATTACAATTTTTCATTAAAGAAGTATAACAGTGCTGTTGGAACAATAAACCTTGATTGCGACTATGATCGACCGAGCGTGTATAGATACGCGTGTGCAAACAGGCGCGTGGCGGCCCGGACTGATTTGCAACTTGAAGTTGTCGCGCGCTGTAGGTAATTATCTCGGCCGGCATAGGCGAGTGACGGAGGCCTGCTAGCATACATAAATTTTAATAAACCTAAGACACAGCGATAGGATAGCCAAACCTTTTACAAAATTACATCTGGTACGCTCAGGCACATAATTATCACCATGTCAATTTAAGACCTAATTTTATGTACCAACCAACATGATGCAATAAAACATTATGACTATGACTTTATAAGTCACATAATTATACACAAGGGGGAGGCCTATGTTCAACAGTTGATGTCTGAAATGATGATGATGAAGTCATATTATAAGATACAACCGTAATATTAAGGTAATTATGTCCCTTTCTGTTATAATATTGTTCCTCATGTATGACCAGGCTCAGGATATTGAGTAGTGCTATATGAGTGCCTTCTATGCAGCCTACACTCCAGGAATCCAAAATCTATAGAACCTATTAACATCAAGTAATAACGTAGGTATTTCCAACACCAAACAATAAAAGTATGTAAGAAATGATGACACAGAACTGACGGCCGATGGGGCAGTAAGGTTTTGAAGTGGAGGCCAGGTACTGAAAGTTGCAGTGTAGGACAAGGTGGAGCGACGACCTCGTAAAGGCAGCAGGCAGGCGCTGGGTGCAGGCTGCTACTGACTGGTCATTATGGAAATCATGGGGCCTCTCCCAATGATTTCCTTTCCTATGTTCAACAGTGATGTTGATGATGATCTCCGTCAGGACCCTCACTTCCGCCTTTCTGAGTCGCAATGTTTTTACAAATGTTCCGATTCAGGTAAATCTTGATTTAGGGCATCCACCGATCCATCTTCGATACTTATCGGGTATAAGTCAAAGCTAAAATGCGTAAACATGCCACTGATGTTCTCATAATTAATTTTAAACGAAACACGAACACAGAAATCGTAAGTAACACCACAGAAACACCTATTGTTGCTCAATCGTACTCTAATAGCAAAATTGCCATTGAGAGTTCATTGGACCAAATGTCAAACAAACGTCAAATAATAGTAGAATACACAGATATATCTGTGGTAGAATACCATTTTAACCCACAATCGATTTACGATTGTAACACGATTGAAGAGCAGACTACCAAATAGTCCAATGGCAGTTCAATGGAATGCCATTGGAAAATCATTGGTCTTTTTTTATTAGCAGAATACCAATAGTGTCAAATAATTCTATTGAGATTCGATTACGATTCAATTGAGCCATTTGTAAATTAGCGGACTTGGGGCCCAGACATCCAGACAAAAAGGTTACAGTGAGCCAACCATAAAAGATAGACATATGCTGTAGCGGACTTTTTTGTAGAACTTTTAAAGGGGAAAATCCTATCATACATAATTTATGCGAAACTTTAACCGTTTACGCAGCGTCAGCTCTCAAAAGGAAAAAAATCACTGATTTGAAACATTCTTCATTGGTGCTCCGCTCCTAGTGGTCTTAGCGTGATGATATATAGCCTAAAGCCTTCAGGGATTAACGGACTATCCAACACAAAAAGAATTTTTCAAATCGGTCCAGTAGTTCCTGAGATTAGCGCGTTCAACCAAATAAACAAACTGTGATTAATAAATTGCGCCACTACAAACCGTACCAACAGATGGCGCTGTTACGATCTTACTATGGCAAACTCCACCGCGCATACAATCCTGCATCGCGGTGACGAAGTTTTTTACCCTGCCCAGTATATATAGACAAACCAAGCTTGTGTAAATTAAATGCTTTAACTCCTTATGGTGGTTGAGCGTCATGTTCCACAACTTCAGCTTTATAATATTAGTATAGATATAGATAAAAAACCGTAGCGCCCATGCGCTCTGGCTGTGCCGAGTCGGCCGTCTACGAGAGGACCCGCTCGCTTCTGTCGGAATACTCGCGCGTGGGTTTTCGGACGCTGGTCATGGCCAAGCGGACGATGCAACCGGCTCTTTGGGAGGAGTGGCTCGCTGGCCACGTGAGAGCTTCCGAGATTGGCGAAGGTAAGAATGTCATACTTTATTTATTTAAAACTTACATGTACATAAAAAACCATAGCACCCGTGCGCTCTGGCTGTGCCAAGACGGCCGCCTACGAGAGGACCCGCTCGCTTCTGTCGGAATACTCGCGCGCGGGTCTACGGACGCTGGTCATGGCCAAGCGGACGATGCAACCGGCTCTTTGGGAGGAGTGGCTCGCTGGCCACGTGAGAGCTTCCGAGATCGGCGAAGGTAAGAATGTCATACTTTATTTATTTAAAACTCATATGCACATAAAAAACCGTAGCTCCCATGCGCTCTGGCTGTGCCAAGGCGGCCGCCTACGAGAGGACCCGCTCGCTTCTGTCTGAATACTCGCGCGCGGGTCTACGGATGCTGGTCATGGCCAAGCGGACGATGCAACCGGCTCTCTGGGAGGAGTGGCTCGCTGGCCACGTGAGAGCTTCCGAGATTGGTGAAGGTAAGATTTTCATACTTTATTTATTTAAAACTTATATGCACATAAAAAACCGTAGCACCCATGCGCTCTGGCTGTGCCAAGGCGGCCGCCTACGAAAGGACCCGCTCGCTTCTGTCTGAGTACTCGCGCGCGGGTCTTCGGACGCTGGTCATGGCCAAGCGGACGATGCAACCGGCGCTGTGGGAGGAGTGGCTCGCTGGTCACGTGAGAGCTTCCGAGATTGGCGAAGGTAGGAATATCGTATTTAAATCTGTTCTCAGCGATTTTTTTTTCTACGCACAATGACCCAATCGAAAGGCTAAATGCAATTTGTTTGTCTTGCTATAGATCGTTTCATCCACGAAGACGCGCCCCACCAATCTTCCGCTAATGTTTGAGTGTTATCGGTACACGCTAAATTATCCATGAGTGCACACGCACATTTTTGGGGAGTTAGATTGCTCGGATCTAACTCCCCAAAAATTGGTGGGGCGCATCTTCGTGGATGAAACGATCTATAACTATGTTTTTTCCAGCTTTGTTTTGCGTATTTTTTTAATATAGTATTAAACATGTGTTATAAAACATATTATACAAATTAATTAAGTAGGTACCTCACCTTTTTTGAAGTCGCTTAAAAATTATAAGATGATCATAAATTACCTCTAGTCAATAGTAAGGTACAAAGCAGAATAGACCCTGGCTAGTATATGTACCATTTCTACTAAGTCATTGCTTTATACTACCTAGTGACCTGATTATTAAAATTATTGAATAAAGCAAAGAATAATTAGCTGAATACTTTTTATCAGATGTAATTTCCACCCACATGAAGACTGTGTAATAATTTCCTGTATGAAAAATATGCGCATATTTTTACATGTCCGTATAATAATAAAATTAAAACGTAATAATTCAAGATAACAACGGCTCCTTGATATTAACTAAGTGTATTAGTTTTGATTCCATAATGTCCCCATAAGCGTGCTTTTTGCTCAATTATGAAGTCAAAAAGTAGTCATTGTAATATTTCAACAGTACAGTAACAGTTATCTGCTTTGTTTTAAAATTCTGATAATGTTAATCAGCACACAGGAAACTAGTATTTCACATTTAACATTTTGTGAATATCCTGGTGGCTTTTGGTAATTTGACTATGGCATAATTTCCCATAAAAAAAACCTGCCAACGTAGTGGTAATTAAAACCAGTCTAATTTGACAAGCGTAAAACAGCAGTAAAATACACATGCAGTGGGTAATTCCAATCATCAAATTGAGTGGGAAGAGTTACCTGTTTCATACACCGCAGAAACATTTTAGGATTGCGCCTCAGCCGGATACATGCTTCAGAAACTTTAACTACTTAGTATCGATCGTGAACTTGAACTGCAGCCAAAACGCCAAGTACATGCATGCGAGGTGCATCCCAGTCTTAAGGGTAGTCAGTTGTCTCGAAATCTCATAAAAATCATACCTGGCCGGAATGGCCGGTTAAGAAAAAAAAATCTAGGTTTATTTGCCCAAAATAAAAAAAATAGAGCAAGTATGTCATTTATTTTATTTTGAACTTTCTACTATTCGATTATTCGGCATAGTAACATGCGCTATGGACGTGATGAATCCGAAGTGTGAATGTAATAATAAAATCGAATCATTTTTTGTTGCGTTTTTGCACGCATTGAGTGTTGGGCCCAGGTGTGCTGTATTTTTATGCTTCTCGTGTTTCAATTTGCTTGTTTTAACGATTTTCTTTACAAATATTTGTATTGTTAGAAAAAGTAAATTGTCAATTCTCATTTTTTGCAAATGCTTTCAAATGCGAAATTTTTTAGTGTACCTTACGGTAGACACTTAAGTCAGCATCGCTTTCAGACATGCAGCGGTGAATCGCTCTCAAATCGGGTCACCGTAACGGTTCACGAGCCGCTGCATATGAGACTCTAAGGCTGAAAGAATTAGATTCAAAATAGAAAATAACCAAAATAGGAACAGTTTATTTTCCGCATATTTCGTCTGGAGCGTATCACTGACAAAGCGTTCCCGTTTCTTTAAATAGGTGGTATACTTCTAACTAGGCATGATATCGTATTGTTTTTCTTTAATAGAGGCGAATAAATAAGCTGTTAGCAACGATAGCTTTGTAGCAAAGTAGCTAGTGTTTTTTTTGCATTCTAAATCTGTTTTTCACCACCACACCATCTAACTTTTCTTTATGTCAATCGCTTACCTACTTATTTTCCCTTTTTATTTATACGCCGTTGCCAGTACTTACTTATACTAATATTATTCAAATACATGGTAATCTTTATTAAGACCTTGAAATTAAATGGTTTCTATACACGTTATATAAATTTAGTGTACGACCTTTCAGAGCTAGATATCTAAATATTCGACACTGAAAGTCATGCCTTATCAGTTATCTGTATAATGTTGAAAGTTTATAAGTTTTGGCTTTTTGCCTAAAACCACAGAATAATAATAAGTACTACGTACAGAAGTTTTACTTCGCGAAGGTATTTAGAAAAATGTATGCTCAATGTCATTAACAATATGGTGTAATTTAGCCTGTCTCAAGAGTCAAGCACCATTTTGTTGACAAACGTCAGTGATAGGCACTGCGCCGAAGCTATAGGGCTGACTTCGGTAAAATGATGTGACGTGAGGTGCCAAACTGCGGAAAATGCCGGAGGAAATACATGAATTATCATGAATAATATTAAGTATTTATTTACCTCTCAGTGTTTTGAGACAACTTAAAAAAGTACATTCTGTGTTTTTATTATTATTTAGGCAGTTAAATACTGCACAGTATTTAGTACACCATTTTCTTTATTTTCTTCCATCATACACAAGAATACGCGTGCGTGAGTCAATGTTCGCTCGTATGTGAGGCCTTGTCGAATAGTATCCTGTAGGTGGGTCATCGTACGTGTTTTGTTTTCGATGTAAACTCGCGGAGATGAACAGGCCTGCTAAAAAAAACTACCAAGGATTTCATGCCGCAGTGCAGTTTCGGATTAATATTTACCTGCAAATATTGTAGGCACATTGTAATTTATTAGTAAAATCCAAAACCGAGCTTATTTTTATTAGCTGGCAACTTACAAAAATAGATTTAATGTTGTTATAAAACGTATTGCAACATCGGCAGGTCGAGAGAAACGCATTCGCGATTCACTGGCGCGATTGGAGAGCGCCTTGACGTTAGTCGGGGCCACCGGCGTCGAAGACCGACTACAGGAGGATGTGCCGCGGACCGTGCGAGCGCTACTGGACGCCGGCATCGTGGTGTGGGTGCTCACCGGCGACAAGCCCGAGACCGCCATCAACATCGCCTACTCCGCCGCGCTGTTCTCGCAGAGCGACCGCCTGCTGCACCTCATGTCGCGGGACAAGGTCAGTTCGAGCTCCACGGGGGCTCACTAAAGCCTGGTTCGTAAGCACGTAGAATTTTGTCCAATGACCCATAGCTACCCATCCTTATCATCATCATCATCATTTCAGCCATAGGACGTCCACTGCTGAACATAGGCCTCCCCTAATGCTTTCCACGTTGATCGATTGGTAGCAGCCTGCATCCAGCGCTTCCCTGCTACCTTTACGATGTCGTCAGTCCACCTTGTAGGTGGACGTCCCACGCTGCGTTTTCCGGTACGCGGCCTCCATTCCAGAACCTTGCTGCCCCATCGGCCGTCAGTTCTGCGTACTATATGCCCTGCCCATTGCCTCTTCAGTTTGCTAATCCGTCGGACTATGTCAGCAACTTTAGTTCGTTTACGGATTTCCTCATTTCTGATTCGATCTCGCAAAGAATCCTTATCGCTCGCGCGTAATTATATTGCTGTCGCGACTGTGCGACTGGCACCATACAGTGAGTGTGCGAGCGTGATAGCAACATAATTACGCGCGAGCGATAAGGATGGGTAGCTTGGGGTCATTGGACAAAATTCTACGTGCTCACGGACCAAACTATAGACGCAGTATATCGGTGTGGGTGCTCACTTGTGACGAGCCGAAATAAATGAAAATGAGGCAGAAACTATTCCTGAACAATGCCCGATCTCCGATTTACAAAGACAAAGATCTCATTCCCATTTAACTTTTACAGGAGCACGCGGAATCAACGATCAAGAGTTACTTGGAAGGCGGCGCGGGCGAGCGCGCGGGCGGGCGTGCTTTGGTCGTGGACGGGCGCACACTCACGTACATCCTGGACCGGCGCTCGGGGCTCGTGGCGCCCTTCATGTCGCTGGCGCGGCGCTGCTCCGCCGTGCTGTGCTGCCGCGCCACGCCGCTGCAGAAGGCCTACATCGTCAAGGTCGGTGTGTCTCCAGTAGGCCTAAGATGCGCGCCGCGATAAGCGGTTATCACGCCATTTTATCGATTTTGCCCATACATTTTGGCGTCGATAAAAGTTATCACGGCGCGCATCTTAGGCCTACAGGACGCGCTCGGCTCGTGGCGCCCTTCATGTCGCTGCAGAAGGCACATCGTCAAGGTCGGTGTGTCTCCAGGACGCGCTCGGCTCGTGGCGCCCTTCATGTCGCTGCAGAAGGCACATCGTCAAGGTCGGTGTGTCTCCAGGACGCGCTCGGCTCGTGGCGCCCTTCATGTCAAACTCGCGAGATTGTAATCTGTCGAAAGACTGTGAACAGGAACGTACTGTTTACAGTTTAACGCATTATTTTTCGGTAAATTACAATCTATCGAAGTGAAACCGTCAAATTGTGAAATTACATGCGTCGGATAATGCACGCACTGATTGGTTGAACAACATTTGCCCCGCGTGACATAATTCAACTGAGCGACATTGGGAAATCGTAAACTTCTAATCTCGCGCGGGCGCCCTTAGTGTGTAGGCCTTTAGTATTACTAATTCTCTATAAAATCATCAGCTACCACATTACAGAAGTCATATTATCGTCAATTCGTCAGGCGTTGATGTTTAGCTGAATATAGATAATAAGCAGTGAGACAGTCTGATAAAATAAATCTCGTAAAAATAAACCTCATTAATTAGTTTCAAAAGAAGCAAATTGTCTGAAGACTCGCAACATTAGTGTGCGATGTACTCTAGTCCACATACTGATTTTGCTAACTTATTATTGTTTGTTTTAGGCAGTGAAAGAAGAATTGGGGGTGACTACGTTGGCGATCGGTGACGGCGCCAACGACGTCTCCATGATTCAAACTGCTGATGTTGGAATCGGTGAGTCGTGATATCTAATAGGCAGTCAACAATAAGCATACAGGGTGTTTTGTAGAACGTTGACAAACTTCGTGGGTGTATAGGTAAGGTTATTTTATTTATTTATTTAATTAGGACAACCAACAAGACACACAAATTCAAGCAAAGGGGTTTACATACATAATTTTAAGAATATAAGTTCGCCTATTTGACCCTAAGTCAGCTAATTTTTGTAATTGATATTTATGTAATTTTTTCCGAAATTTTACCTACAACTGCTTCAATTTTTTTCTCACGTGTTTTCAATCGATTTTTTTTACTTGATAAAATAAATGTCAGATCCAGATAATGATTGGATAGCTAGTTACGAGCCGCCAAAGTTTAACAAAAGTACAAACCACGATAAAAAAAAACAACTTAGAATTCGATTTAAATAAAAATGAACGGTGATAATGGATGGCCAATCTTAAAAACATCTCTAGCTTCTCTTCTTTCCAATGATATCACATGTAGTAATTGGAAATTGAAATTCGTCAAAAATTCAAAGTTTAGGGAAGAAAATGGAATAATATAACAAAAACTATCCTATCTATCTAGTCCGCATAACAGGAAAAAGGCACTTAAACATCAGCATCATAGATGTGATTCTCCCTCAGGTCTGTCGGGGCAGGAAGGGCGGCAAGCGGTGATGGCGTCAGACTTCGCGCTGTCGCGCTTCAAGTTCCTGGAGCGGCTGCTGCTGGTGCACGGCCACTGGTGCTACGACCGCCTCGCGCGAATGATCCTCTACTTCTTCCTCAAGAACGCCGTGAGTACAGCCTTTATGTCCTTTTTTTGGTGGTAAAAATACATTGAGTTGCATACCCGCCACAACAATATGGTGCAATTTAGCTGACCATATTGAGTAGACATTTTTTGTAATACCTACCTTTGCAAAGAAATTCTCTGTACGAAGTATATTATTTATTCTTCTGTGGTAGAACGCCTTACGTGTATCCTAATGCCCCCTCTAAGTATTTCCTTCGGGAGTTATTTAAATAACTTAAAAATTGACTTAGACTTTAAACTTACGCCTGTAATTTAATTACAGGCAAAATCCATGAGCTTTTATTTTGCCGATATTTTCGACTGTTATTATTACTGTACCTATTTTTAATCATAATTCATATTTTAGAATAACACAATCAAGCTAAGCCTTGGCGCAGGCTGCAGACTTTTTGTCGGCCGATAATTTAGTCGGGCAGTTAATTAGTATGGGCATGTGTGGAAGTGCGCACATTACGCCGATTTGGTATCGGCCGCTTCTTCATACAAATTAGAATCGGGCCCAACTATCGTCCAACCAAAAGTCGGTGGTCTACGCCTAGACTAAAAGCCTGCGCAAAACTACACCACTATAGATCGTGTCATCCACGAAGACGCGACCCACCATTCTTCCGCTAATGTTTGAGTTTTATCGGTATCCATGAGTGCACCCACACACTACAATTATGACGCTCGGATTTCTCGGATCAAACTCCCGGCACCCCGCACTTCCGACCAAAAATTGGTGGGGCTCGTCTTCGTGGATGAAACGATCTAAAGTCCGGTCGCCGAGCACGTAGAATTTCGTGAATGACCAATGACCCCAAGCTACCCATCCCTATCGCTCGCGCATAATTATATTGCTGTCGCGACTCTACGACGGGCGGCCGCAGTGAGTGTGCGAGCGGTAGCTTGGGGTCATTGAACGAAATTCTACGTGCTCGGCGACCGGACTTTATTTATACCTCATGTATACTGTGTGAACTAATGCTAGTTGACTAATGGTTGCAATTTGTTTACCGGCAGTCATTCGTGTTCCTAGTGTTCTGGTACCAGCTGTACAACGGGTTCTCGGCCATGGTCATGATCGACCAGGCGCACCTCATGTGCTACAACCTCATGTTCACCGCCATCCCGCCCATTGTCATAGGTCAGTATGCTCCCACACAGGTTATAAAAGAGTATTTGGCAATCGGTATATTGTGATACTACACTGAACTGTCCCACCAAACTCGTTCAACTTTAGTTTCCAACGAGGCAAAAATCGGAAGCAGCGTTCCTGTATTGACGGTGGCGCCCCTCTGTCAATGTCACGGGTGGGACAGTTTGCTGTAATTCATCTATACTTTTTAAGAGCTGTCAAAACGCGACTCGCAGATTTTGCATGGAATTAATAGAATTATGAACCAGCTCGCGAACAGTGAACAGTTGACTGACTATTCAGTGATATCAACTGTTAAGAATATAAAATAGACACCAAACTGAAAGTTAACGATCAAAGAATTTGCCTCTTAAAATCGGTTCGCAGTGTCAAGTACCGAATGGTAAGGCCCGGTTTCCACTAAAGTGGAGAAATGTGGGGCTCTCAAATTTTTCTATAGAATTTGACTGCGCGACGGCGCCAACACGGCGCGGAGTGGAAGGAAGTGGAAATAATGAAATCTGATTGGTTATTCAAAACACTCCTCCGCTCTGCTCCGCCTTGGTGAAAACTGGGCATAAACATACAGTACTCTTCAATGGCGTAACTATACCATCCGAGGAAAATGCACAGAGCATGGGGCCCTTGGCGTATCTAGGGTCTAGTGTAGTGAGTTTTTTCAGGGGGACAATCGCGATTAGAGTTTTGGGCCCCTCCTGTGGCATTTGCCAGTCCTGCCACCCAGTAGCGGCGTAAGGGGGGGGCGGTGGTGGCGGTCCGCCCCGGGTGCCAAGCATCAGGGGGTGACAAAAGTCGCGAAGATTAGTACTCACTGGCACATCTGCATGGCAAATCTGCGGTCTATGTCATGATACCGGGACCAGGGGGTGCCTTAGGACGGGGGGGGGGGATGATCGCCCCAGGTGCCACCCCATGCTACGCCGCCACTGCTGCTGCCACCCTACAGTTACGCCACTGGTGTTCTCATTATTTTGAATTTTATCGCTTCGTACTTATTTATAAACAATATAATTATGTGTACAGGTGCATACGATCGCGTGGCGCCGGGCGCTTTACTAACGGAGCGGCCGGGCCTGTACAGCGCGGCGCGGCGCGGGCTGGCGTACCGCGCGCACTCGTACTGGCTCGTCCTGGCCGAGTCCGTCTACATCAGCGTGTGCATCTACTTCACCGCCGCCGCCGCCTACTGGGACACCGACGTGGGGCTCTGGTCCTTCGGCACCGTCTGCATGACGGCCTGCCTCGTCGTCATGCTGCTGTACGTGGCCATCGAGACGCGCAGCTGGGTATGTCTTCTTATTCGTCACGCTCTTAAAGCCTGGTCCGTGAGCACGCAGAATCCCGTCCAATGACCCCAAGCTACCCATCCTTATCGCTCGCGCGTAATTATATTGCTGTCGTGACTGTGCGACGGGCGCCCGCAGTGAGTGTGCGAGCGCGACAGCAACATAATTACGTGCGAGCGACAAGGATGGGCAGCTTGGGGTCATTGGACGGAATTCTACGTGCTCACGGACCAGGCTTTAGCAGAGCGTCGTGGTCACGTTGAGGCGTTGTTCGCATCGGTTGTAGAGGCGGATACAACTCTCCGCACGATCTCCCGCCATCTTTCTCTGTTGGCAAACTGTCTGGTGCAGTCACATACGCCGTCTCCGTCTCCCACTGCCAATTTCACTTGGTCGGTCCAGTGCATTGGTGACCTGCCAAGCGATCGGGTTCCTTCGATTTTTCCTTGGACGACCAGTCGTTCTATGGAGTTGTAATCCCGCCTTGAGACATGTACGAAGTATTGCAGTATGCGCGACTGTACTACGGTTGATAAACGCTGAATGACACCGAGCTCCTGGAGTATGGACAAATTGGTACGGAACTCTGTCCATGATATCCTGCTGCATGATGCTGGGTAAGTGGCCACTCAGATAGCCACGGGGGCGCTCAGCCACTGGGACACCGACGTGGGCTCCGGTCCTTCGGCACCGTCTGCATGACGGCCTGTAGCCTTATTCACGTAACAAAACTTCAATGACAACAAATCGCTGAGTTGCGATCCTATCGAGTAATCGTTCTATCGAAATGACCCTTGTGAATACGGATTTAGAACTGTTTTTCAATGGGACGACGTAACAAAACTTCAATGACAACAAATCGCTGAGTTGCGATCCTATCGAGTAATCGTTCGATCGAAATGAACCTTGTGAATACGGATTTAGAACTGTTTTTAATGGGACGACTTCTGAACGTCAACGAGATCTTGACTGTCTTGACTGGGACGCCGACTTCGGCCTCTGAGGGCTTAGAGCGCTTTCACATTAGGGCGTTAGAAGCGCGACAGCAGCGTTTTTATAATGTGAAGGCATGTATCCGCTGTCACATAGTATGAAATTTTCGGCAGCGCGTCTGTCACGCGTTTGTCGTATTAAAATCGGTGAAGGTATAAATAAAATTAATTGAGGTGAAAATAAATTAAACTATTGTTTCCATGCAGCGTTTCTTTAAGGCATTAGTAAGTGACCGCGGACTGGCTGAAATCCGCGAGTGTGGCTTCGCTTCCGTCTTCAAGCGTACCAAGCAAACAATAGATGCAAATGTGATTTTGTACTGACGATCCATTTAACAAAGGGCAACATTGTAAATAAATGATCTTTTTGCTATAAAGATTAAGGTGTTGTGCCCGTAAGCAACGTAACTTGCGCGACAAATTCGCCAAGAAAGTAATGTAGATGACGTTACGTACTAAGATTTTAAATGTGCATAAAAATGACGTAGCGGAGCTAGCGAAGGCATTAATACATTTTATATTTTTGACATACCTACATAATATCATTGAATATTTATTAATATTTTAATTTTATATATTCCTGTTTGATTTGACGTTTATGCACAGTTATAATATTATTAAAATTCACGATATTCAATGTTGTAAAATGACGGTACCGGGCTGTCGAAAAGTCCGTAATATCAAAGACATTTTGTTTACATAGTTGCCCTGTGGATAAATGGATAGATTCTAAAGCCTGGTCCGTGAGCACGTAGAATTTTGTCCAATGACCCCGACTGTGCGACGGGCGCCCGCAGTGTGTGTGCGAGCGCGACAGCAACATAATTACGCGCGAGCGATAAGGATGGGTAGCTTGGGGTCTTTGGACAAAATTCTACGTGCTCACGAACCAGGCTTTACACGCATAACAACCGAATTTCAAAATTTCCGATAGCTATTAGTGATGCTATGCTCTCAAGGCCTAAGTGTGCAACACAATCTTATCGGTGCATGATAAAATTATTATTTTATAGATTTAAGTGATTACTTCCGCGAATCCCCTTGTTTTGTTTATTATCAATAAATGTAATAGCATTAAGTATCATTAAGCTATCAGTTTTGCTGTTCGGTTCGTTTTGAACAAAGAAGTAGGCATTCACGGTGTGATTAAAACTTTTTCACTTACAGGTTTTGCACAATAGGTTTAACACGTGTGGGTTGGCTTCAAACTTTTTACAACTATGTAATTACATTACAAAATCTATCGAATCTTCTGTAAATATTTGCAAAAAATTACTCAATACGCAACATTTTTAGTAGCCAACACAAGGTTCTATAATAAGTACATGAGTAGTCCAGTTGACGAGAATTTCAATCGCTTGTATGAATATGTCGTATTTGCTAGAGGGGCTGCCTAGAGGGCGGGAAATTGCATTTTTATTGTATGTTGATTGATGATTTTAAATGTGCAAGTGTGTAAATCCGCCACTAAGTAAGAATAGTAGTCAAATACCAAATACAAACGATTGAAATTCAGCACACAAAGCACTAGTCATTTAGGCACCCCGCAGACTATGACATTTTGTCGGCCGATTTAAATCGCTGTAAGTAGCAAGTTCGTTTTTCATGTGAAGCGTATTTCTGCACGCGGAATGGAAAAACATGTATGAACGGGCACGCGTGCCGAAATTCGCATCACAGGAAAAGGACATTGAACGTTTGGAATTACGGACATTACACTGATTTCTCATACAAATGGGAAGACGACCAAACTATCGGCCGACGAAAAGGTCTATTCCACATTGATCAGATCACCCAGGTGATCAAAGAGGTCTCCAAGCGATAATTTTGGTGTCCTTTGATCACCCATGGATGAAATCACCTAGGAGATCAACGTGGACTTCTTATCTATGGATGATCAAAGGACACAAAAGTGTCGCTCGGAGTTTATTTGATCACCTTGGTGACCAAATCCAGGTGATCAAAGTCGAATAGACCGACGAAAAGTCTTCAGTCTGCGGGAACGTCATGTATCGATCGTGGCGTTCAAACGTTTAATTCCGTGGATATTCCAGACGGTGATTCACGTGCTCGCTCTGAGCGGATCGCTGCTGTCGTTCTTCGTGTTGACGCTGATCTACGAGTCGGCGTGCGTGGTGTGCTTCGGGCTGCCGAGCACGCACCGCGTCATGCAGCACGCGATCGCCGACCCCATCTATTGGCTCGTCGTCGTGCTCAGCACAGTCATGGCGCTCGCGCCGAGGTAATTTACCTACACCCATGCTCTTTGAATGCAGTTCCAAAAAGGGCTTATTCCACTATTCCCCGTTGCCAATCCCCGTCAACGGGGATTAGTGAACTTTTTTTTCACTATTCCCCGTTATATTAAGATTTTATTTTTAACATTTTAAGCTCCAATTGGCGTTAACGGGAAATAGAGAACAATAAGTTCACTAATCCCCGTTGACGGGGATTGTCAATGGGGAATAGTGGAATAAGCCCAAAAAAGAAAGGATTGTTTTCTTTGAGTAAAATTTTTTATCTACATTTTTAAGAGTACTTTCCCTCCAGGTGGCATTACAAAATTCCACCCTGTATAGCGGGAACGGGGTTTGGGACTGCATGGCGCAGCTTGAAACGTCCATCATTTATAAGTTGTACTTTTTCACATATAAGATTCCATTTCAACTAAAATAGAAAGACACTGGTCTTAACGCAACATTTATGACCGAGTTACATTAAGTACTCACGGCTTGACGTTTCGGCTGCTATGCTGCAGCTGTGGTCACAAGCAGACTCGTCCGTTCGGACGGGCTCGAAAAGTTTCAACTACCCTCATATTGTCATTTGTTACACTACCACTAGTGATGTTACCCCGACACATCGGCTGCAGCATAACAGCCGAAACGTCAAGCCGTGAGTACATAATGTAACTCAGCCATAAATGTCGCGTTAAGAAACGTGTGTTTTGCTCGTTTTCACCATCAATGCCTAATTTTTAAGTGACTCCTTTGAAAACAAAATTCCTGTTAAGTGTTACCATAGGGTAGGTGTCACTTAAAAATTAGGGATTGATGGTGAAAACCCCTAATTTTTAAGTGACCCCTTTAAAAACAAAATTCCTGTTATGTGTTACCATAGGGTCACTTAAAAATTAGGGATTGATGGTGAAAATCCCTGATTTTTAAGTGACCCATTTGAAAACAAAATTCCTGTTGTGTGTTACCATAGGGGTCACTTAAGAATTAGGGATTGATGTTTAAAGAATAGACTACTTTAGACCTTATCACGTTGAGTTAAGAATAAACGAAAGATGTACTGTACAGTCGCGGAATGAAAAGGTTCGTCACCTTAGTGTCGGTTTTCGCTTGCACTAGGTACTGTAAGAGTCAAACCTGCCAACATAACAGTGCAAGAAACAGTGCTGCTAACATTTAAATAAATATGACGTTTGCTAACGAATAAGGTTTTGCTTGATTATTTTTCTATCCCATCAGTGCAATGCAATGATGACATTGACCAATTGACATTTTTTTTTTTTATTTAATACAAATAATAATGGCAGGTTGAACCAACAAGAAGGTTTTAATTGTAACATAGTTTCAAAAGGTAATATGTGCTCGCGATTCGTTGAAGGAATCAATTTTAAAACTGACGAACCTTTACATTCCGTGACTGTACGTATACTCATCACAAGACTAGATTGTTTTGTACTTTTTCCCACCCTGTACGAGCATAAGTTTGAAAGGCAATGTGACGCACGCAGGCTGGCGTGGCACGCGGCGCGCAACTCGGTGCGGCCGGGCACGCTGGGCCGCGCGGTGCTGGCGCGGCGCCGGCGCTCGCGCCTGCCCTACGCTGCGCACTACCGCTCCGCCAACGCGCACGCGCACGTCTACAGGTGACGTATACATTTATATACTCAACATGAAATAAACCGCACCTTCCGCGACGCGAACTTTAAAGATTTTCTTTTGACACAATCATGCATGGTGCCTCAACAATATTGGTGTTATTTGAAATAATAATAAATAAACTTAAAGAAAAACACATTAAATTTTTTTATAAACAATTAACAGGTACCATAAATGTGACTTGAAAAAAAACCTCACTTGGGGCTCACCTATGGGACCAAGTAGACCAATTTTTGTGGTTATAAAACCAAATACTGATCTTACGTGTCCTTTTTAACAGATGGATAGCAATTAATCCCAATTTAACAGTTTTAAAGCCATAAAATTTGACTCAAGCGTAACTACCTATTTTTTGAAGAAGTGACTCTGGATCCTTCTAAAAACACATTTTTGGGGTAAAAACCTTTCCTTTAATGAAATGAAGCTTAGAACTAGGCTTTCAAATGGAACCAATGTTGGTGGGAAGTGGGGATGCATACGTTTGAGAAGTGCTTGTTGCGGGAGGTGCGATTTATTTGATGCCGAGTGTAGATATTAAAGTATAGTTCCAAAATACTGAACTGTCTTATGCATGACATTGACAGAGGGGCGCCACCGTCAATACCGGATCGCTGGTTCCGATTGTTCCGATTTTTGCCATGTTGGAAACCATATAGTTGAACGATGGTAGCGCCCCCCTGTCATTGAGTTTAGTGGGACAGTTCAACGTGGGTCATCTATACGTCCAACTAGCAGCGATACGAAAGGTCGATTCGACTGTCGAGTTGACAATCTATTCTGTCTCTTCCCATCTTGTGTATTTGTCGTAATGTCTCGTTCTCCCGCCAAAAATGTCAAAGTCAGACGGGTTCGTCAACATTCGGACATAAATTTTAGAATACATAGTTGTTGCAATTCACGAAGGCGAATCTGTTACTTGTTTTTATTATTCCAATATATTTAAGTCTCAAAAAAAAGGGGTAGGCCTGTTTCCATACACTGGGCACATTGTGATGCAGAAATGTTATTATTATTCTCGTTATTTAATTAAAATCTACGTAAATCTAAATATTTATGGTTTGCCATATATTTTTTAAAACTATATTTACTTTTCCTTATGACCATGACATTGGGTTTGTTTACATTTGGTATCGCTTCTCGTTGGCCGTACTTTAGCAAAAGAAACTCAAAAGTGGGAACTTTAATCCCCTCCTCCCACTCCGGCGCCCCCCTAGACGCTGGGACTTTTAGTATGTTTACAATGAAGCAATTTCTGAAAAAATTGCTTAGGTGCTCCTTATGGTACATGTCCAATATAGACTGCAAACCGCAAACTGCAAGCCACCACGGTTTCTTTGACTTTTTGTTTTTCACTGCGGTCAACCACAGACTAGCCGCAGTGTCGCCTGCGGTTGCAGCAGTTCGTCCTTAAGCATGACTAAAGCCCGGTCTGTTAGCACGTAGAATTTTGTCCAATGACCCCAAGCAACCCATCCTTATCGCTCGCGCGTAAATTATATTACTGTCGCGTCTGTGCGACTGGTACCCGCAGTGAGTGTGCGAGCGCGACAGCAACATAATTACGCGCGAGCGATAAGGATGGATAGCTTGGGGTCATTAGACAAAATTCTACGTACTGTGTCACGAATTCGCTCGTATTTAGTACGACTACGAGTGCACTGCCGCCGACGCATTCCAAAGGCTGCTGCTTCGGTATCGCTGAGCATTAATTTTGGCCGAACCTTAAGATAACGATGCCATTTCAACCGTAGCGTTAAAAGTGTAAGGTACATTATTTAACCATTCGTTGCATCAGGGAAAGCCTATGTTTAGCGGTGCATGGACGTCCTGCACCTGAAACGTTGATGATGATGATGACGAGTTAACTGGGACAAAAATATCCGTTCCTGAGCTCAAAAACATTTTTGATCGCGATCATAGTCACCGAACGTGGAACATTTTTCCCCAGATCGACTGACGAGGATGGTCTCCAAAAAACGCAGGCGGAGGTGGCCGCGATCACGTGACCTCCGCCACGCGCGCCGCCACATACCCTAGGCTGTGATCTGTCATACAACTTGTATCGTAGAGTAGTGATGTATTGCGCTTCACGCGGGACCAAGCCGGGGCTCGCCTCGGCCTCACCCCATGTTGCGGGGCCGTTGAACTCATATAAAACGATCGAATGTTATTGAATAACTTAACGAATGTTATGTGACTTCGCAACGAGCGTTCTTCAAATGTTTCAGGAAGACATCCTTCTTTATATGGGATCGATGGCTATCACTATACAGTATAATAATTTTATCCTAACGCTTTGTACTTATACCCCAAAAGACTATATTGGACGAATTCACCGCTCCTCACACGTTCACTTTTGTACGCGTATTGCCGTTTACCTTTTGTATCTTAACGTTAACTGGTTAGAATCTAGTCTTCATCGTAACTGTAAGTAAAATGGCGCCCATCACTTGAATTGTTCTTTGATCTGCCAATTTTATTTAATATTACTAGTTATTTTTAATCAGTATTTACGATTTTGATCAGCTTCGAATAGAACTTGGTATTTATGTAGAAATTAAGTATGAGTGATGTTTTTGATCGATTTAAATTTATTGTAAAAGTTTTTCACATTGAGATTAGACTTCCGGATGCTTGAAAAGTAAACGATTGTCGCCTGATAATTCGCTATTATTAAAGTTATATAAAACAATATACAAACAACGCAGACTCGTTAACATTGCCTTGATGACCAATTATAGTTAATCAATGCCTCAACTTGAAAAGTAGTAAATAGAGCCGGTGTTGAGTGATGATACTTATGCAATCTTTCAAAGTGTTCATTCTTGATCGTTGGATATATACTTGTGTATTATTGCTGTTCTAAAGGAATGGGATAGATAACAACCAATGTGTATTTTTCTAGTAGTTTGTGTCGAGCGACTCCCAAGCGCTCTGGTCGCACGAAATGCACCCGTTGCGTTATTTCACATACTTCATGTTAATTAATCATGTTAATACATAATAAAAAGAATCTTTTCGGTACTATACAAAGTCTCTGTATAGCATAGAATGTTAAAATGGTATTCCTCCTAGCAGTACGTAACATAACTTTTAGCGTTATCGAGCGAGGCTATAGCGGCGCGTGCTGTCAATGCCGCATGTTGTTATCAGACTTATACATTCCATTGTTGGTGTTATTTAATTAAGCCTATCGCCGATTGTTAGCCGATACGTCACGCAAGTGCCTTGTTCCCAGCGATAGGTGCATTTCCTGCAGATTTACAATCCTGTCGAGTGATTAGATGATTCCTAAAAGATATGACTATTTTATATTGTTTCTAGCCGTTTGTATATAGAGACGAATATATATTTCTATATGAATGAAGATTGTTATATGTACAGTAGGATATTTTTATATAAAAAATCTTTGTGTAAATAACATGTATGTTCTAAGACTGTTGTTCATTTTAGAGCTTTTAATTTGTTTAGTTAAATTAAACTAATAGGTTATTGTGTTAAAAACATGTATTTTCCAGTCATTTCGTAGAGTACGCCGCGCTGGTAGTTCTGATATTTTTTATGTCAGGATAGATGAGTTTCTTGCCATATTGTGAAATCGGAACTTAGTGATTAACAAATTTTAGTACAAGTTTTATTAAGCTAAATAATTATGTATTGTCAGCTTTTCTATTATATCGTAGTTACTTTGATCTGTATAATTTTTTTGGAAATAAACATTATCATGGTATTGATGGGCAAAAGCCAAGAAAGATCGTAACAACTAGTCTTATCAACGAAATTGGGTATTATAGTACCAGTACTTATTAGATTGATTGTTGACGATTAGTCTTCTGTTATACTTCCGCGCCCGAGGGCCCTTGTGTGGTAGTTAAGTCATTATTAATATTGTTGTGGCTTATCACGCTCGCTTCTTCCATCGTTGTCTTTGTATTTTAGTCTTCTTACATTTACATACTTTATGCATTTATGTTTGTGATATTAACAAAAATCTTGTTCCAGACTAAGTAGTGACTATTGACAACCAGATCAATGACTAGAAAATACATTTATACATAATTGTGTTGTTTTATAATAATAACAAAATATTTAATTTCATTACAAATTTTGTTTTATTTACAAATTCCTTGTATACAAGCAAATATAATCAAACTAACTGCCAAATAGAAAATTTAAAATGTATGTGTTTAATCTGGTATTCTATACAATACCTAGGCAATGCATAGAATGCCTAAAACTCGGGTAATGTATGAAATATTATTTTTTATACTTTGCCTAGGTTACCAGATGCGCAGCCGGCAATGTGTGTAAAAGACGATAGCACGGAAAGGAAAGACGTGAGGCCAGGCAGTAATCCAGAATACTAACTACTTACTATAATTATTAAATTCGATAAAGTTAACTGCTTCTTTGGTCTTTGATTAATTTCGTTGCGGGTCCAATGACAGTTTAACTTTCTCCCGGGACAAACTTGACCTTCATTGGTTGGGTTTTTGTGGCGGTCAAGCTGTAGATCCTGGCTACACAGGAGTTGCAGTGGTGGGAACGAGAGGTGGGAATAGTCCCGGTCTAGTGATAAGACGACTTGACTCAGACTCTGAGGACCCGCGTTCGATTACTAGTGGCAGCAAAAATTTACGCTTAAAAATAAAAAAAGCGTTTTGCATTCATTCAATAAATTTAATTGTTATTATGATTATTTATTTTTTTCTAAAATGTCACTTAATCTATTTCCTAATAATAAAAATTGTCCAAATAAATCCAACCATCGCCCCTGCATTCTCAATTCTTCTTCTCTAATTCTATTTCTATCTCGCTCTAGTTCCCGTTGTAACGTCCGCCATTCTCTGTCGCTTTTGAGAATTTCTTGTAACGCCAGTTCCGATCCCTTTGGCATTCTCCGTTGAGTAAGAGGTGAACGGCGGGGACCAAGACGAGGGCGATATATGCGCCGCAGACGAGGCGAGGGAGGCACGAGGGTGGGGCTCGGCTCTTGGCTCGGCTCGCGGCGCCGCTCACGACTCGGCTCGCGGCGCCACTCACTACTCGGCTCGCGGCGCCCCTCACTACTCGGCTCGCGGCGCCCCTCACTACTCGGCTCGCGGCGCCCCTCACTACTCGGCTCGCGGCGCCCCTCACTACTCGGCTCGCGGCGCCCCTCACTACTCGGCTCGCGGCGCCCCTCACTACTCGGCTCGCGGCGAACGATGTCACGAGTGCGCTAGGCAGATGAGCTAAATGAGCTGAAGTATGGCGTTGGGCAGGCGCATACTGGGCTCGTTGACGAGCACGACATCGAACTGGCTCAGGTACTTGGGCAAGCTGTCGCGCACGTTGTGGCCCAGGAAGCCGAGCTTGACGACGGCGGCGCAGTGCTCCATGCCTTCGACCATGCGCGCGTCGCCGATGCTGTCGCCCATGAGCAGCACGTTGCGGCGCTCCTTCACCATCTCGTAGTACTCCGTGTTCTTGATCGTCGTCTCGTTCTTGTTCATCGTGTGGATCACCTCGTCGCCCTTTATGCCCACTATTTTGTCATTGTCATCGAGATCCAGGAAGTTGGATACCACCTGTCGAGGTCGATTGGGCGTTAGCGCGTTTGTGTGAATATTTTTTAAACAGAATCTTCGGAAGAGGGTTAGATATGCAAAAAAAAATGACGAAGTCGTTCTTAGGTCTTGGGAAAATATTTAAAAAAGACAAGAAAATTCATTAAAAAAGGAGGTCACTTAAGCCGATTTGTGTGATAACGTGTGTGTTTGGCTAAGGCTAACCTTCTGCCGAACACTGTATATTGGACCATTTTAGGTAAATAGAAATAGTGATTTGTACCTACACTACTAGGATAATTCCGCGCTAGGATTTATTATGTGGGTAGTGTGGGTGTATATATACTCCCTACCTAACGCTACTTTAGTGGTGATGGTAAAATCTTTTAGATATTCGGGTTCTGATCAGCGCGGCTACCTACTCCCTGTAGTCCGTACTTCATACATACATATACACATACACGGTAAAGACTTTGTGACTTTATATGAAAAAAAATACAAAAGAATTTTAGTGCTTACTTAGTTAGTACGCATAGTGTACTTCCAGCATTGGACATATTCCAAGCGTTTGACCGTGTGTGGCATGAAGGATTGTTGTTCAAATTGAAAAATGAGCTAACTACCAGATCACCTTTACGGAATACTAAAATAATTTCTCCAGCAGCACCTTTTCATAGTACCTACAACAAGGGGAAGTAAATACAGTCTGATCTCTGACCTATAAAAGCATGATTTTCGCAGGGCACCGTACTGGGTCCCATAATCTACTTGCTTTTCACTGCGGATCTGATGACATCTGAATCCTTAATTACTGGAACCTTTGCTGAAGATACCGCTATACTAGACACAGCGATTCAAAATTAGCCTCGCAAATACTCCAAAAAGGACTGGCTCATTAGTTCCCAAACTTATTTAACGCGCCGTCTTTCGACCATACAAAAAATTCCGCATTAACACTGTGGCCGATAGTAGCTACATATTATTTAATGAATTCCAACTATAGTATAATCCCATTTATACATTGAAATCATACAAAGGATTTAAAACTAAGCACTCCTACCAATAATAACCATGCCCCCTGGGGTCCGTACCCAACTAATTATTGCACCGTGATCTGCGCCTGCCCACCGTGAAACAGGAAATTGTACGCCATACCATAGCCTATAAAGAACACATCAAATGACACCCAAATACTCTGGCCCGGCCACTTATGGCAAACCACAACAAAGCGCGACGTCTAAAGGAGACCGATTGTAGTAAATAAGGGGAAAAAAGGGTTACCTACTTTCAGGGTAGTTACGTGAATGACGCTGAGATTTTGTGTCACTGACGGTAGAGTAGAGACCTACGTACTTTACCTTAACGTTAGGGAGCTGGAAACCAGCGGCCGTGAGCGCGGCCTGCACCGAGTCGCCCAGCCCCGCCGAGAACACCAGCACCGGCACCTGCTGCCGCTGGCTCCACGCCACCAGCTCATGCACGCCGTCCCTGCCCATAAATAGCACACTTATCAACGTGGAAAGGAATCTTCACCATATCAACTCGAACCGCTTAGTAAGTATTCTTTGTATGAAACTCCTTACTTGTAACGCACACTAATCGGAATCGTAACGTTATCGACTCGCCTCGGGTCAAGCTCACGAGCTGCTATACGGCTTTGTCGTCCCTCCTCGCTTACACCTCGTCGTCCGCAACCGGGAGCTTTAACGGCTCTTCGTTCATTCAAACTGACCAGCGGTCGGCGAGTCGTAAGTGCGATGTTGTCTAGCCGTACTTAGCCACCGTAGCCGAATCGATGCTGATCCACACACTATTACGTACGTTCTGTTCTGTATCATCACTCATTCCAAGTCCATGGAGATGTATGGAGGTGCGCGTAGCGACGTGATGAATGAAGGCATTAAAGAAAAAATATCTTATCTTTTGAATAATATGATATGCATTTGCATACGGTAATTTACCTTTCAAAATACTTAATATTACTTATTTACCTTCATGTTTTATACATTATTAATATTATTATTTATTGATAACAAACAGAAAAAAAATACACGTGGTTGTAGCAGTTGTAGTGACCTGTGTTTTTAATATCTGCATTAAGGTAGCCTTTCAAACTAAGCGTCACAGACGCTTTAGCTTTGGTCTTGTGCCACCAACGCCGCGTCACTAGAGATGGGTTTCCACCCGGGTAAAAACCCACATGAGGGTAAAAACCCAATAAAAACCCGTTTCATTCCACCCGTGGGTGTTTACACCGGGTGAAAACAAATAATTTTATAATTATTTCAATTGGTATCTTTTCTTTATTTTTATTGAATTTTTCTCATTTAAGTTTATTGATTAATAAGTAATAAGTCAAATTTAACACTAATATGCATTTATATCGTGGCCAAATCGTAAAATTGATCACGTTATGATGTTGTGACCAATTATTTTATAAAATGGTGTTATTTCAAGAATCGTTGAACCGATTTAAAAGAAATTTAGTAGNCCCAATGTTTGCAAAATAGTTATTAGCGTGATTTAAAGATTCAGTAGGGCTGGGTTTGCTGTTAGTTAAGGCATTGGCATGGTTGTAAGATTTGTTAAGATGACATATGTCTTTAATCGACTTCCAAAGTAGTTTGTGATTGCCCACATTAGCCGCGAGCATTTGGCTTTCATAGTTGGTTTTCAGTTTGTATAGAATTTTGTTCAGGTAGTTTCTGTATCTTTTATATGTAATTTGAGCTATTGTATTTAGTGGGTTAAGACGAGCTTGCAGGTGAAGTCGATCTCTCTGTCTTTGACATTTAATTAGTCCCGGCGTAATCCAAGGTTTAAGGATGTGTCTAGAACGGCTAGTTTTTACTTCTTTGGTATTGTTTTGGATTGCCATGTCAATAATCTGGCTAAATTCTGTGACAGCATCGTCGACAGAGTCAGTGTTCATAATGGTGGACCAGTCTACTAGAGATAGCTCTTTTGCAGTTCCATCAAAGTCTACTTTGATATTGGGTCGCTTCGGTATGGTCTTGCTCTTGCCTATATCCGTGCCTAGGAGACATATACAGTGATCCGTTAAATCTGCCGAGCAGACTATACCAAGAGCACCTGTCGGATTTTTGATGTAAAAATGATCGAGGCATGCTTTTTCTCTTGTAGGTATCGTTATTGCTGGCAATAACTGATGTTCAGTTAACAAAGTAGGAACACAATAATTTGTGATCATGGCAAGGACATGGAGGGGGGGATGCCAAAGATGCCAAACTCTCTCTTTGATGACATTACGGTATAACGTTACAAATAACAACACCAACTACAAAGTACTTCTGCTTGAAAACTTGAAATCGACCGCCCTTCCGCCACTGTAACGCATTGTAACGTTTTTCAAGACCTCCTCTCCCCCCAGATTGCATTACGTAACACTAGAACGCCCCCTTAGCAACAAATACCACTTCTCACTTTAAAAAAACGCTATTTTTGTTTTCACCCACCAGAATGGGTGATAATGGGTAAAAACCGGGTTTTTACCCAAATCACCCAGTTTAAACCCAATCGGGTGAAATGGGTTTTTACCCACTACCCATCTCTACGCGTCACTAACTCGCTTCGAAAGGCTACCTTTAAGACCAAAGCTAAAGACGCTGCGTCTGTGACGCTTACTTAGTTCGAAAGGCTACCTTTAGGGAGAACACGCCGCCAACGGTTCATGCAAGGCTCTTTCGACACCTCCACTCGGGCAATCACGGGCAATGACGGAACGCCGCGGAGGTTTTAGTGGGTATACTAAAAGTACCCCATCCTTTTCAGAGCGCCGGGTCCCCCGGCAGTGGTGAGGGTGACGGTGCGCAAAGCATTTCCTCCGCGACAAAAAAAGGCTCTTTTCTGCCTTACCACAAGACTTATTTGAAGATATAAAAAATAATCTAACTTTACAGCCAAAGCATTTTCCCTATCTATTCCTATGCATTTTGGCTCTGAAAAAAAAAACCTTTTTCTGTTCCGAGGTTGTGATAGCATTCACCAAAGTACTTACTAAAGTTTAGGTATGTTTAGATCAATCAAACTAAAGTGTGATTTAAGTCTAGGTTCTACTTGCCTATAGCATTCTATCATCCTCTGCCCAACGCCCAACAGTTCCTGCCTGGGAAAAGTGACACCTCTGCAACAATTTATACAATATTTTGTAGCAATAATCCTCTCAACAAACTGTTTGAAACTTGCTTAAATTATTTAGCAAGAACAGTAGACATTAGAAAAGTAGAGCAAAATTGGTTTATAAAAGTTAGATGGAAAATAAACTACTTATTCACAAATGTCCATTTCCATTGGAAATGTTTAAATTTTTACCTAAGCAGTGCATTAGCTGCCTTATACCATTCTATCATGTGTTTAGTCTTTTCTTCCTCATTCATAAGTGAGTCACGCTCAATAGGCCTGTAGAATTCGGCAAGCTTTTTATCCTCATCTCTGTACTTCTGAGGTATTGAAGGACACTCCCAGAACATTGCTGTAATCACAATATTGATTTAAAAAAAACCACGCAAAATCGCGCGATCTTGGAAATAACTATCTTGGAAAGTAATTGGTGAATAATTCCGAATGGAGTGAGCTGAAATAACCGCTAGTGTAATGTACCTACCTACTTACCTGTGTGATCTACACTTTCAAATAAATGCATAGTACCTAGGGTAAACCGACAGTCATTGGACGCTGCCAGTCATTGGACAAAATAACTCTTGAATTTTCTTAAAATTAATATTCCTTCAAATACAATTAATATTTCTTAAAAAAAACGCCCTTTTATCTCCATCAGTCGGAATCTCTCAGTTGTCGAAATAGAAATGCTATTTTTAATTCAGTAAATAACTGTCCAATAACTTTCTTAAGCGTCCAATGACTGGCAGTTTACCCTATTCTGTTGGCTTAGGTTTACCGCTGGCGATATGACGTCACTCGAAGGGAAGCGTCTATAATGATAACAAACTATATTTAAAATATTTTTTATTTATTGTTATTGATAAAAATTGTGTATTTGCGTAAAATATGACATTAATTGCGTTTAATCGCGGTTTGGGGAGGGGACGCGCATTGCACGGACCGGCAAACTTATCGCGAACGGGTACTTAGTAGGTAGGTAATATTTAACGTGATTATGTATTAGAATAGAATTCCTCAGCAAGTAAGATAATGAACATCTACTTACAATAAGTAGTAAGAACAGGCGATCCGTTTTCCATTAAAGGTTTTGTCAATGTGTACCTAATCAAAATCAGTTACTATTTGCAAATTTTTATGTCCATCTTGAATAATCTTGTTAATTTTTCCCAACAATTCTTGTTCATTCCTAATGTGCACATTTTCATTGTTAAATGCAGGTATATCCCTGATGCTAGACAGCAACTTCATTTTCTACAACGACAGAAAAAATAACATTTTTATCTAATATTCTCAAGCGATAAGCGAACAAATAGTTTTGGTACGATATAAAGAAAGAAGAAAACAGTCCCACTAGGTATCAATGATGTAGCAAAGAGGTGGAGAAATTCGGTCACTACGGTCTCTGCTGCCATCAAAGTGCTGAACATCTCGCTTGACACTCAATGAAGCCAACGGAGAGCACAAAGTTGCTTCCACGTGAGAAACACGTGCATTGATTCGTGATGATGGCAAAGATAGATGCGGGCAATGCAGGACCGTTCATTGTGAAAAACCTTGGAGCAGGCAAGGAGCAGGCCTTTGTCCAGCAGTGGACGTCATTCGGCTGAAACGAACGAACGAACGATGGCAAAGATGATGATGAACTTTGGAAGAAAATTTTCTAAACCACCATTATCGTCGGAACACATTTGCGCCTTTTGGTGTCGAGACGTTGGAAACAGAATGCAAAATACTTTTTCGCACCAAATAGTGTAATTAGATTAATCAAAATCAAAAAATAATTCCTGGCTCTTTCCTTGAGCAGATGCTAACTTAAGGTTCGGCCAAACCAACGCGATCAGCCGGCGTGCAGCGATGGCGACCAGACCTAAATGCATTGATCGCCATCGCTGCACGTCGGTTGATCGCGGTGTGATCGTGTTGGTTTGGCCGAACCCTTAGGCATAGCCAAAGAATTTTATTAAAATAATAATGTTATTAAAGAAAACAACAAAAGTTCCTTACCAATTTTCTCGTTTTTCGCACTTCCTAACAATTGACTGCTTATAGGTATTTGTTTAAGTTAAAATTCCTAAGGTATTATGTGAAATTTTCAAAATAGCACTGATAACCCGCGTCCGCCCTTAAGCTAACAACAAAGAACACTGACAGACGAATTTGCTGTGACTCATAAATGAATTATTGATTATATTATGTACTTAAATTACAATAAGATAAAAATGATTAGTGCAAGTGTGAAACAAATATTTGATAATAATGACAACTTTAAATTCTTGGCGGGAAATAAGGCGGAAAAGTGATGCGACAACGTCTCGGTGTTATGGTCATGTTCAGAGCCCCGATTACGGTAACTTATAACGTCAACAATCCAGACACGCTTCTCGATTCTGCGATACGATTGGTCGTTCAACAGCGTACGTCAGCTGTTTTGACCAATCGTATTGCAGAATCAGAAACGCGTCTGGATTGTAGACGTTAAAAGTTACCGTAATCGGGGTGCTGTTCTTTTTTCTGTAGCTTTCTTTGCACGGAGCTGCGGAGGTTGCACGGCATGTGCGTGTTTGAATGGATAAGTCGATAAAGGAACGACAAAGTTTGAAATAAATGCATATTTTTCCAGGTAAAATTTGCCGTTAGACAAATACCACTATTTTCATGCGGTATTGATGAGCCCAGGCGCCTGTCTAGCTAGACACAGAAAACATAAGTTTTATTATCGTCTTGTATTCATCACCATCTCAGCCACAGGACGTCCACTGAACATAGGCCTCCCCAATGATTTCCATATCGCGCGGTTGGAATCGTCTTGTATTAAATAAATAAAAATAATTACTAATGGTCATTTATTTTTGTTTACTGTGCCTTATGACAATATCACTTAACAAGGCAAACATAAAAGTGGAGAAAATCAACGTATTATAAAACCACACATAAACTTTGTAATAACTCATTTTAGTATACATTTTAAAAATAACAAAATAAATCATCAGATGGCCTAGTGTGAGTTTACATCAAACGCGCTCAAAAAAATGACATTAAATGTAGGCGACAGAGGCGCCCCTAGCGGGAAACGTTCAAAAACTAAAATTTTCATACATTTTTAAGCGCGTTTGATATATTAAACTCACACTCAACCCGTAAGTACGTCCTACGGATGTATAAAACGTAATTTTGCTTCGCAAACAAAAGAATACTATCGTTGGTATTATGACAAAAAAATCGTAACACGTCGGGAGTGAGAGTCCGAGGGGAGATTGCGCTAACTAAAACTAAGAATTGGCTAGGCAGTGCATGCGTCAGGCGAGCAGCTGGAGTATGGCGTTGGGCAGGCGCACGCTGGGCTCGTTGACGAGCACGACGTCGAACTGGCTCTGGTACTTGGGCAAGCTGTCGCGCACGTTGTGGCCCAGGAAGCCGAGCTTGACGACGGCGGCGCAGTGCTCCATGCCTTCGGCCATGCGCGCGTCGCCGATGCTGTCGCCCATGAGCAGCACGTTGCGGCGCTCCTTCACCATCTCGTAGTACTCCGTGTTCTTGATCGCCGTCTCGTTTTTGTTCAATGTGTGGATCACATCGTCGCCCTTTATGCCCACTATTTTGTCGTTGTCGCCGATCGCAAGGAAGTTGGACACCACCTGCAAGGGGCCGATTGGGCGATTAGCGAGTGTGCGAGTGATGCGTCAGGGAAACTAAGTCTGATTTGATGAGTAAACTAGTTTCCTAAAAAAATTTTAGTCCGTCAATTACATTATCAAAAAATATTGGACACGTATATTTTTATTTGTCACTCAAACAAGTAATTACGAATATATGATGTGTTGAAGTTCCGCGTGACGTCACAAAGTTACGCACGCTTTGACGTAATGGGCCTTTCTTCTGAACTTTGGCGCGCTTTATCTCTAAATTTTAATTAGTTTGAAAAAGTAAAAAATATGTGTCGAGTATATAGTCAAGTCATATTACGTACACACGGCCACAGTGTTAACTATCCATTTCCGTTTTTGCTCTCGCTCTCATCAAATGGTGATTCTTTGCGATAGAACGAGATGACATGACCGGCAATGGGCAGTTAACACTGTTGCCGATAGTACTCGCTAGCGCGTGGGTTTGGTCAGTGGTTACCTTTTATAGCATAATGATTAGCCTAGAGTTTAAACTGTCAAATTATTTAATAAGTTATTCAATAAAGATTTATTTATTTATTATTTATCAGGAGGGCTCTGGCCCCTAACATACCATGTCATGGGGGAGGGGTGCGATTAATATCATAGCTCATGAGTTAGTACTACCAGGCCTGTTCATCTCCGCGAGTTTACATCGAAAACAAAACACGCACGATGGCCCACCTACAGGATACTATTCGACAAGGCCTCACATACGAGCGAACATTGACTCACGCATCCTTGTGTATGGTGGAAGAAAATAAAGAAAATGGTGTACTAAATACTGTGCAGTATTTAACTGCCTAAATAAAAATAAAAACACAGAATGTACTTTTTTAAGTTGCCTCAAGACACTGAGAGGTAAATAAGTAGTTAATATTATTCATGATAATTCATGCTAAAATCATGTATTTCCTCCGCCATTTTCCGCAGTTTGGCACCTCACGTCACATCATTTTACCGAAGTCAGCCCTATAGCTTCGGCGCAGTGCCGATCACTGACGTTTGTCAACAAAATGGTGCTTGACTCTTGAGACAGGCTAAATTACACCATATTATAATGACATTATGCATATATTTTTTTAAATACCTTCGCGAAGTAAAACTTCTGTACGTAGTACTTATTATTATTCTGTGGTACTACTATCAACTATCTTCCTCAAATCGGTAGCCCAACACCAGACCATTCTGGAGGGGCGGTGCGCTGCTCTAGTGACATCTCGCTCGCTCATTCTTTATTGCTCTCTTCGGCTAGGTATATCAACCAGTAGCGGGGAAGGAGGGGGGCGGTGGGGGCGGTCCGCCCCGGGTGCCAAGCATCAGAGGGTGACAACAGTCGCGCAGATTAGTACTCACTGGCGCATCTGCATGATAAGGACGGTCCTGATACGGGGGAGGGGCGGTGGCGCGATTGGTATCATAAATAGATCATTCGTACTAACATCTTTCATCTTCGAATCAGTAACAAAATACTTGGGGGGTACCAGACCATTCTGGGGTGCTTTTTATGGACTTATAAAGGGGGAGTCGGAAAGGAACCGCCCCGGGTACCAAACCATGCTACGCCGCCACTGATATTAACGTATGTCTACGTCCTTTAAGCCTTGGGCAGACCAAACGCGGGGCAGTAGCAGCGCAGTTTGAATGCGGGCCCGCGCAAGTTGTAATACAAGAAACTCTTTAAAGTATTTGGTCTGTGGAAGCCTTAAAAGTCTAGCTCACCTTGACGTGCGGGAGCAGGAAGCCGGCGGCCGTGAGCGCGGCCTGCACCGAGTCGCCCAGCCCCGCCGAGAACACCAGCACCGGCACCTGCTGCCGCTGGCTCCACGACACCAGCTCGTGCACGCCGTCCCTAACGCAAACAATGCGATCAGCTCACTTTTCGCGCCTTTTTTTTTTCTTTTTTTTTTCCGGACGGACTATGCTGATAGCCGTGAGCGGCTTTTTCAGCTTCACCGGACAATAGGTGAGCGCAGATGGCTCTCAACCTACTTTTCGCGCCTTTTTGTCATCGTGTCAAGTCTAGCTAGATATTAGCACGTCACTACCTTGTTTAATATACCACGCAATTTTGTATACCCATTATAAGATACACTATACAAGAATGCATGGTAAATTCAGTGAACTGCTCCTGAATCGAATGTACCTACTACTGCTATTTCTATTTATATAGATTAACCGGCAGACAGTGGTTACTGAGTTTGTTGCGGCGCTTCTTCTCAGCACTTGCCAAATGTTGGTCTCGAAGCGCTGGTAGGGTAAAAAGATTATGAGACATGTAGAGGCTCCTTAAGAGCAAAATGACGTTTGTAAGAACTATTTATTAGTCTAAACGAATAAAGAAATTTTGACTTTGACTTTGACGTGACTGTGGCCTCGGTGCCTAAAGACGAGTCTTCAATCAGTGTGTCATCATTTCAGCCATAGGACGTCCACTGCTGAACATAGGCCTCCCCCAATGACTTCCACATCGCACGGTTGGTAGCGGCCTGCATCCAGCGCCTTCCTGCTACCTTTATCAGGTCGTCGGTCCCCCTTGTGGGTGGACGTCCCACGCTGCGTTTTCCGGTACGCTGATGATGATATTACGGCTCGGAAACGTGACCTCTCAATAGTCTCAATATAGGTCTTTATAAGCTCAAAATTGCATGGAGGGTTGGTGTTTCTTTACGAGATCGAATCATAATCTCATTTATAATGCGAACAGCTAGGGACTGGAATTCGTTGCCTGCTGCTGTCTTTCCCGAAGACTACAATCCGGGCCTTTTCAAGGCGAGAGTGAATGAGGACTTACAGGGCAGATATGTACCATCCTAGACTGCATCCCACTTAACATCAGGTGCGATTGTGGTCAAGTACCTGCCTTGTTATGCATAAAAAAAGAGAAATGAGGATTTATCCATAAACGTACTAAAGTCGCTGATAAAGCCCAACAGATTAGCAAGCTAAAGTGGCAATGGATAGGGCATATAGTACGAAGAACTGACGGCTGATGGGGCAGCAAGGTTCTGGAGTGGAGGCCACGTACCGGAAAGCGCAGCGTAGGACATCCACCCATAAGGTGGACCGACCACCTCATAAAGGTAGCGGGAAGGCGCTGGATGGCTGCCACCAACCGGCCATTGTGGAAATCATTGAAAGAGGCCTGTGTTCAGCAATAGACGTCCTATGGCTGAAATTATGATGATGATGAATATTTTTCCCCAGAAAAGACATTTTATTCTACTTACCTAAAACTATCTATCATCTTGTGTCCAATAGCCATCAACTCTTGCCTTGGAAAAGTGACACCTCTGCAACAATTTAAAATTAGATTGTAATAAACATTTGCACTGTTTGCACAACAAACTGTCTGCAATAAAAATGTTTCGTAATTATTAGCCCAGGCGCAGACCACCGATTTTTTGTCGGCCGATAGTTTAGTCGGGCAGTTAATCAGTATGGGCATGGATGGAAGTGTGCACATTTTTTTTTAATTTGTGTTGAGCGGCTATTCTAGTTCAATAAAGTCCTAGTATCACTGCGACCGTTATCGATCTATTGTGATCGCCGCTGTTTTCCTTACAGTTCGCCTCCGAGTCCTGCATCCATTAGGAAGTGCAGTATCTTTTGGGGGGCGATATGTTTTACATCTTGTGGGCTTAGGATGTGTTTGCCCAGGTGTAAGCTCCGCTTGCGCATCAGAGGTCCGCAGTCCGTGAGAATGTCAAGTGTGCACATTACACGGATTGATTATTCATACAAATTAAAATCGGGCCCAACTATGGGCCGACTAAAAATCGGTGGTCTGCGCCTAGGCTTATACTACAATACAGTAGTAAAGTAGACAAGATACGTTGATTTGATAATTATTTAATGACAAAAGTTGATTTCGTAATTAGAAGCTGACTTTTGCCTTGAAAAATGAGATGGTAATGAATATATTTACGAAAGATAATAGTTTCATTACTTAATATGAAGTAAAGTATGAAATTGCCATTTAGTATGGTATTTCACACAAACATTTTTGTGTTTTCTCAGGAATCACAAATTTTTAGTTTATGAAATTTTGTGCCTAGATTAAGACAACATTAACTATAGGATACATAAAAAAAATTGAAAAATATTCATATTTTTTACGGGAATTGGACAACTACGACGTTTAAAAAAATATGGATGTAGCTATTGTATTAATATAGGGAATTTAAATATACTAATGAATACCGAGAAAAAAATCGGCAATTTCATACTTCACCCCCTATTATTTCAATTAAATAATAAATAAATAAATCATTTATTTGCTCAGAAACATGGTAACAAAATGGTCGATAGAAAATGTCAAAACCAACATGTTTTGTCCAGGGTAGGCTTAAGGCAAAAATGAGCTTACTTGAGTTGTGCGTGAGCTGCATTATACCAATCGACCATATGTTTAGTCTTTTCCTCCAGGGACATGTGTGGGTCTCGCTCGATGGGCTTGTATATGTCAGCGAGCCTGTTGTCCTCATCTTTGTACTCTTGAGGTATTGAAGGGCACTCCCTGAACATTCCTGGAATCATTTCACATAGCACATAGTAGCATGTATTATTTAATATATTTTTTTTAAAATATTACTGATTGAACACTAATCCCCTTATTACAAAAAGTAAGGTTTAAATTGATATTTATTATGGAAATGTCATTTTAAACCGGAATTCGTCCCAGGATTAACTTTTATGTAATAAGGAGGTATGAATCAAAATCAAAATCAAAATTTTCTTTATTTGTTTAGACTAATTAAATTAGTTCTTGCAAATCGTCAAATGCTCTTAAGGAGCCTATACATGTCTCATTCTTTTTTTGCTCTACCAGCGCTTCGAGACAAACATTTGGCAAGTGCTGAGAAGAAGCGCCGCAACAAACTCAGTCACCACTGTCTGCCGGTTTATGGGTCCTACCTTAACTCAGTTAGTGCCTGAGCCGGGCTCAGTGAGCCCTATGTAGTTTATAGTGTCATTTATTAAGAAAAAAACATTTTAAATTCAACATGCTTCTAACTTGTTATTAGTATGGGGGCAGTGGCGGCGTAGCATGGGTTGGCACCCGGGGCGATCACAGTCACAAGTCCTAAGGCACCCCCTGGTACCCCCAGGGGGGTTACCTACCGATGCAAAGATTGAAAGACAATCGCACTCTCCCCCCGTATTATGATATAAACCGTAGACTTGCCATGCAGATGTGCGCCAGTGAGTACTAATCTGCGCGACTTGTGTCACCCCCTGATGCTTGGCACCCGGGGCGGACCGCCCCCACCGCCCCCCCCTTACGCCGCTACTGTATGGGGGGATATATTTAATTAGGCCATGTGACTAATTTCTTATTTATCAGTTAATTCAGTACAGTTAACATAGAATAAAGCAAATAAACTCTTCCCAATCTTATCTTACACATTAACATTTTATTTGTCTTACCCCAACATTTTACCCCAACATTAGACTAATCTATTCAATTTACATCTGGGAAGTCATCTCCCATCAAAATTGAAGATAAAAAAAAAGAAGTCCATTCAAATAGCAATGATATTCGGGTAAGAAAATGTAGATACAATAAACAAAAGTACTTGTGGTGGAGACTTAGGTTTATTAAATTGGAAATTGGGAAGAGCCCCATAAAATCACCTGAAAAAATGCATAATTTTTAGGTAGGTAAATAATACTACTCACCAAAACTAGTGAGAACAGGCGATCCGTTTTCCAAGGAATGTTTTGTCAATGTATGATCAAAATCGGTAACTATTTGCAAATTTCCATGTCCATCTTTGATAATCGTGTTAAGTTTTTCCAACAATTCTTGTTCATTCCTTACGTGCACATTCTCATTGTTAAATTCAGGTATATCCCTGATGCTGGATAGCAACTTCATTTTCTACAACAAACAGAAGGAAAATCCATTACTCTTGAACGTACAAATAAATAAAAATACGAACAAATGAAAAACTATAGAAAACGACAGTTTATTACCATCAACACAATTTTTTTATTCTGCACACTACTAACCGATCAGCCCAACAAATAATTAATAATTTTCTGCTTTATAAATATTAATTAATTTATAAAACTTGCAAGAATATAACAATCGAAAATATTAATAGCGTTGATAACCCGTGTGCGCCCTTGATCCGACAGAAGAGAACTGACAGCTGACAGTGACAACTGGTGACAACAATCACACACACACAGGCCACACAGCACTCCTCTAATCACAGATATATAGTTCCAAAATACTGGACTGTCCTGTCGATGACATTGACAGCGGGGCGCCACCGTCAATACCGAATCGCTGGTTCCGATTTTTGCCATGTTGGAAGAAACCATATAGTTGAACGATGGTAGCGCCCCCCTGTCATTGAGTTTGGCGGGACAGTTCAGCGTGGGTCATCTATAGTTCCAAAATACTGAACTGTCCTATCGATGACATTGACAGCGGGGCGCACAGTGTTTTAAAATCACTTGGAAGCGGACATTTTTTGGTGAATAGATGACATGATTTAACAAGTAAATCTAAGTAAATTCCTAAAAGAAACCCGTGGTCTATCTTCAACAGCTTTCGAGAAAAAAAAATTTTAATTTGGCTTATTTTGTGTGTTTTAAAATACGTTTTTTTGTTTATCTGTTCTTTATTTGAAGTTGTAACACAATTGACTTAAATGAGTAATAAAGCACACAATTTCCCTTTTTTTGAGCTATACATCATATTCTAAAGCTTTGTAGATCCGGAGAAATTATAAAAAAACTGATTTTTGGTTTTTAATTTTTTAAATTTAAGTTGTACGTTTTGAGCAATAACGAATTATTGCATGTTAAAAAAGCCCTTTTATTTTACTCACGAAAAAAAAATCACCGAATTTTGAGAACATACTTTTGAGAAATTTGCATTTGAAATTTCGTGTTTAGCAACGCCTTCCGAAAAACTCTTGGCAAAAACAAACTTTTGTCACTTAGATTTACTTGTTAACCCTTCATTTGGCAAGACACAAATTGTTTGATTTTTTCAATAAAATCTATTTAGACCTAATTGTTACTATCAAATAAAGTTAAGAAAAATAGTAAAAAAAATATTTGGTCGGTATTTTCGCGAAAAACGATTGTTGCTTATTTACCACATTGCCAAATAGGGGTACTTAAATAAAACATTGAGATATATTATAGAATTAAGTTTTTTATATGAAAATCTTTAAAAAATCAATCGTATTTCACATTTTATGCATTAAACTTTTTTTTGGCCATTTTCGCAAAGTCGACAATGACCTTTTTCTCCAACATTTGATAGATGACGTATGTCATCATACTTCACGATCAATATGCCGAGCCAAAGTTGGCTTTTTATTTTCTCTTTAGCTTCTGAAACTGGTATGTTACCGTTATCTGCTATAGTTGTTGACTTCAACGCAAGAAAAATGTGTTTATCATTTAAATCAGTTCAGCGGTATAAGTGTGAAGACAGACAACAAAGAGACAGACAGCAAATTCTTCCTCTCTCCTAAAATGCTGTGCCCGACAGGGTCCATAATTGCATCAAAAGTAATTACTATACCATCTCTATAACATTATTAATGTAATACATGATTGATTTATTGTGTATTGACACTCTTTTGTATTAACAAAAAGCTAAACCTATTTTGTTAGATGTTTGGCACTGTTGCTTCTAGGCAACATCAAGGTTCGGAAGCATGTATTGTATTAGAAAACACAGTTTCTACGCCAAATATTGCTTTATATGATTAGTTTGATTTATTGTGAATTAAATTTAGACAAAACAAAAACAATTAGAGATGATAAAATAGTACAAAATCATAAAACTTCCGTCTTTGTTATTCTCATTGCGCGTCATCTTGGCGTCTGACAGAAATATGGATATGAAATCACTCAAAACTCAGTCGACGACCGATTTACTAGTGTTTTTCTGAACTAAGCTTTGTAACAAAATCGAATGATTTGCACAAAACTTATTATTTGGTGCTGCAGAAATATTCAAAGTGGCTGTTGCTTAAAAGCATCACTGCCAAATGAAGGGTTAAATCATGTCATCTATTCACCAAAAAATGTCCGTTTCCAAGTGATTTTAAAAGACTGTGGGGCGCCACCGTCAATACCGAATCGCTGGTTCCGATTTTTGCCATGTTGGAAACCATAAAGTCGAACGATGGTAGCGCCCCCCTGTCATTGAGTTTGGCGAGACAGTTCAGCGTGGGTCATCTATATGGATCCTCTAATCCATATCTCCATACTCTCTAATCTGTGCAGCACTCAGCAGCTGATGGTGGCATAATGGCGCAAGTACACTATTGAAGCGCTATCCCGCACACCGAAGTATGGGCGACACACGCGAAGAGAGAGGAGAAAGTAAGCAAGATGGCGTTCACACTATTACGTCTTGGCCATGAAGCTAAATAGTGTACTCGCGCCATTACACTTAAAGGCGTTGTTACACTATTATCGAAAACGAAGTATTGGGAGGAGAGGACGGCGAAACTAACTGGAAGTGTTTACACCATCGCTCCCTCATTAGTCTCGAATTTGATCAATTTCCCGCCGTTTAGCCTAGGCGCAGACCACTAACTTTTTGTCGGTCGATAGTGGGCCCGATTCTAATTTGTATGAAATCGAAATCGGTGTAATGTGCGCACTTCCATACACGCCCATACTGATCAACTGCCCGACTAAACTATCGGACGACGAAAAATCGATGGTCTGCGCCTAGTTTACAAGTACTCTATGGCCTAGGCTTAGAGTAGTGGTTTCGTAGTACTAGTACTAGCTAAGTACTATACTCTATGCTAGGTAGTACCACAGAATAATAATAAGTACTACGTACAGAAGTTTTACTTCGCGAAGGTATTTAAAAAAATGTATGCTGGTAGTATTATAGAGTCGAGTCTTGAGTTCTTAAAGTAACGCACTACTATGCCGAGGTCTGGGTTTTTTCTGCTTTCTACATAAATTATGTAATGTAATACGTATGTATTTAAAAAGGCATTATGTATGTTTTTCCTTTGTCTAGAACCCTTATTACAAGCTTTGCTTAGTTAGTTTTAGACTAGAGAAGGGCGCGCTGTGTAAAATATCCAAGGATATTGATTTATTATAAACTCGCGGCCGCCCGCGACTTCGTACGCGTGGATCCCGTTTTACCCCCTTCATCTATCTTACGCGGTTTAGATTTTTCATACAAATGTTTTTTCCCGCTAACTCCCGTTCCCATGAGAATTTTGCAATATCCTGTTGTAACTAAGCTTTAAGTTTACTAAGGTACCTGCATGCAAAATTCCAAGCGTCTAACTTAAGCGGTTTAGATTTTTCATACAAAAGGATTTTCCCGCTAACTCCCGTTCCCGTGGGAATTTTGCAATATCCTGTTGTAACTAAGCTTTAAGTTTACTAAGGTACCTGCATGCAAAATTCCAAGTGTCTAACTTAAGCGGTTTAGATTTTTCATACAAAAGGATTTTCCCGCTAATTCCCGTTCCCGTGGGAATTCTTAAGTATACTATAACCTGCCCAGGAGTACGAAGAATAATTGTACCAAGTTTCGTTAAAATCCGTCGAGTAGTTTTTGTTTCTATAAGGAACATACAGACGGACAGACAGACAGACAAAAATTTTACTGATTGCATTTTTGGCATCAGTATCGATCACTAATCACCCCCTGATAGTTATTTTGAAAATATATTTCATGTACAGAATTGACCTCTCTACAGATTTATTATAAGTATAGATTATGGGTCTAATAAAAATGCTCACTAATCGAAAATATAAGAACATTTTAATTACATTATCTTTTTTTGTCTTTTCACATCTTTTAAGGTCAAGACTCGCATGGATACAAGGTGTGGTTTTGTAAAACAATGCCCATCTCAGGGGTTGTAGTCAAAGACAAAACCACACCCTGTCTATTAAACTTTTACATGTTTTATTGATTTACCTACGTTAATAAATACTATTTTATTTACTTAAATGTCGTATTTTATTGCAGTAAACAAAGTTTATAATTAACAAGGCAGTTGGTGAACACGCTTAATAAATTATGGTGTGCTGTTAAAACTCAAAAATTTTAACGAAAAAATTGTTATTTGTTCTTCTCACGTCACAATATGGAATTATGTAAATAAATTATAGACAATGTAAATATAATAAAATATTTCGGAAGATGTAAATTGCGCCATTTCGAGGCTATAATAAGAATAATTTTACTATACTATGGTAAAGCCCGGTCTGTGAGCACGTAGAATTTTGTCCAATGACCCCAAGCTACCCGTCCTTATCGCTCGCGCGTTATTATATTGCTGTCGCGACTGTGCGACGGGCGCCTGCAGTGAGTGTGCGAGCGCGACCGCGCGAGCGATAAGGATGAATAGCTTGGGGTCATTGGACAAAATTCTACGTGCTCGCAGACCAGACTATAGTTATTTGGGAAAAAAACTTAAAAGAAGTGATAAGAACAGTGAAAGAAGTGATACGTAATATATCTACTTTTTAAAATCGCCAATTTAAGGTTACTAGGAATAACTGCTGTGTGAAAAACATGTTCCTATCCCATAAACAAATAACTCAAATTTAATATGACAGCATTTTACGACGTAACGATTATAACTGTAAAAGTTAATAAATGATACAACTGTATAGTTAATTAAACTTATTTTATATAATATAACAAAACTTATCCTTTCATAATATACAAAAAATTACAACCAAACATTTGGTTTATAAAATGACGTCAAATGTGATGAATGTTATACAAGCAAAGTACCTAAGTATCATGTACTTGAATTCTTGGTAACTATTATTATTCTATGCTACAAAAAATATGAACTATGGGTCAATTGTGATTATTAATTGATTATTTCTAAATTTATTTACAAATAAAATTGTGTATTTATTACATTTACAAAATGAACATTGAACCCCTTAAAAGACTATTCTATGAATTACTGACAATATTACTGTGATCATTATGATTATGATGATGAAATCATTAAATAAACCGATACAAACTTTGTTCTGCTAAGCATAAATATATAAAACAAGAATCAAACAACAGTTCATTAAAAGAAAACGGCATTAAACTCTGTGATCGGCAAACATGCTAACATTGATTACGCCGTTATGTTAGTGTAAAATAATACATCGGGACTTCTCAGAAGCATTATCGTACTCGTGAATGACATTATAATATAATCTGGCCATATAAGTATGAAAAAAATCTTGGCAATCACTGGATTTGAACGTTACGATAATGCTACCGTTACCCTGTAATGATTTATCGTGACCACCTCAAAGCACTAGAGACGGGATTATTATACTCTCATAATACACAAGTAGGACCAGAACAATTTTCTAGGATGAGACCAATAAGCCACTGTCACCTATATATAGTTAAATTAAATATGCAATAATCACATAATATAGCAATATTAAAATATAGGTACTCAGTACATAAGATTATATAAATATACAGATTTAAGCATTGTATTAATCTTGGTCCGGGAGGCTGACCGCGGCCCAGGTTCGGGTCAGATCAATCGTCGCTAATGCGGCGTTTCTTTTTTGCCTTTTTCTTTTCCATTGCTTCCATTTTCATGTCTTCTAAGTCTTCCATGATACCTGCAATAAAACAAATAGTTTAGTAACTACATAATACTATGATAACCATTCAATCTATCTATATAGTTTATTATTTAATTAATTACATTTAAAGATAACTAGAATAAAAGCAATGTTATTATAAAAGTTGAACATACCAATTTTCTTGCTGATATATTCTTCCCGCTGTTGTCTTGCAAAACTGGACTCCATGGTCGGGTCGTCATCATCATCCATATCCCGGTACCTAAAGAGAATTTTAAAAAATATAAGTCAAATTTTAAAGGTAGTCCGTTAGAAACTCAGTAGATTTCATTTCAGTAGTCATTATAATGCAAAAATTCAACAAGCAGTATTTTTGTAGTAAAATGCCTTTAAAAAATAGATACTCACTTTGATCTATCATATCCAAATATTTCTTTAATATGTCTTGAATAATCCAAGTTCTCATCTCCATCATCAATAAAGTCATCCATTTCAGAGTCATATTCAGAATCCGAATCCAGGCGACCTGCAAACAAAAGATATATTGCTTAGTTAAATGATTACGTTAAGATCCTGCAGTAATTGGAAAATGTTTCTAATCTATACTAATATTATAAAGAGGTAAAGTTTGTGTGTTTGTATATTTGTTAAATTGTAAGGGGTAATCTCGGGTTCTACTGAACCGATTTTAAAAATCCTTTCACCAATAGAAAGCCACATTATTGCCGAGTGTCATAGGTTATATAAAAAACCGAAAAATTCCACGCGGGAGAAGCCGCGGGCGGTAAGCTAGTATACAGATAAATAGAATACAGGTTATTAATAAAAAAGGTCTTACGTTTTGCTTTCTTCCTGTCATCTGGGTGCTGCTTTCGACGAATGTCTCCGGGCGGGAAATGTCGCGCGCCGTTCTGCTTGCCGCCAGTTTTGGCGCCAATATCTTTGATGTGTTTGTCGAAATCAAAACTGGACATTTTTGGTTTGCTCGGACCAGCCTGCGATTTACCCTGTAAAACTCTATCATCAGGTTTCTTGCCACCCTTGCCCAAATCAGAGGGCTTTCTAATATTTTCATTGTTGCTTTTCAGAGATCCATTAGCAGACAAAGCCTTTTGCTTGTCCTTCATTTCATTCTTTAATGGCGCTTGGTCCTTACTACTTTTTGGCACTGGTTTTCCATGAGAGCTGTCACCATTGAGATATTTTCCATTACTATTCTTGCTTGGAATTGTAAACTTCTTTTCATTGGAGTTTTTGTCTATCCTATAAGTATTCTGACTCTTCAAATCTATGTTCTTTTTTATATCTTTTCCACTATCTTTGGAAATAAGTTTAGACCTATCTATATCTACATTTCCACTTTCTAATTTTGATTTAGTCTTCTCCAGCCTCTCTTTGTCTCTATTTAACCTTTCAATGTCTCTTTCTATCCTCTCTCTTTCTGCCTTCAATTTGTCAACTCTGGCAATTCTTTCCATTTCTCTGTCTATTCTCTCCCTCTCTGCTTTCAGCTTTTCTAATCTTTCTCTATCTCTATCTCCTTTATCTTGTTCTAATTTTCCTCTATCTTTATCTCGCTGAACTCTATCTCTTTCACTTGTCATTTTGTCTCTGTCTGCGAGTTTTGGAGTGTCATTCCTAATGTTGTTAGAATTTTTATCACCTATTTTTGGGATTCTTCCAATTCCACTTGTTTCTAGCTTCCTTTCTCTTTCAGACTTGTCTTCTTTTGTCACTAAAAAAATAGAAGAATTTTGATTAATACACAAAATAATTACTACTGACTACTAATAGATTTTTAATTTTTTTATTGAATTGTATTCTTACCTCGTTTGCCGCCTTTTTCCGCATCTAAACGTTCTTGGCGCCTCTGTCGCCGCGCCATTTCCTCTTCATACTCCCGCCTTTGCCTTTTGGTCATGGGCCTCTCTGGTTCTGACTCAGAAACAACTTTTTTAGCTCCAACTTCTATTGGCTCACTCTTTTTTTGCTCTGCAAGTTTTAGCAGCTGATTGAAATCCATAGGAGGTGGTGCAGGTTTCCGAAACTTGGGCTTATCAGATTTAGATTCCTCTTTTTTCTTCTCTTTTTCTGGTTCATATCTTGTAGGACTATCTTCTTTTTCTGCAAGTTAAACAAAGTAAATTAATACTCAAATAACAGTAAATGGGTTTGAATCTGAATGTGACTAAGTAATACAAAGTATTTGAAGGCATTAAATTCTCTTGTAAATAAATAATATTCCTAGAAAAAAAATTAAAATAAAGAAATAACAAACCTCCAGTTCCTCCTTTACGCCTCCTTTTATGGGGAACAGGCTCCTCCTCATGCTGCAGTGCGTGTTTGACTCTCTCCATAGTCCCTTTCAAATCTTTCTTGACCGAGCTGTCTGAAAACAATGATAATTAGGTTAATGATGTCGCTGACACCAATTAGGTGTTCCTGGAATAGTTTAAATAAGATACATTTGTAAGGTTGGATTTTTTCAAATGTAATTAAATGCTGAACCATTTTTCAGGTCATATTTGGCTAGTAATCTTAATATTTAGTACCTATAAAGCTTTATATTGAGTAATGTAAACACACCAAGGACAAAACAAGATCAAATTTAAAATATTAGTGAATATGCGATGAAGCTACTGAATCGAATAAATGAATTTTGATCTGAATTTACAAGTTAAATGCAACAAAAGTTACTTACTGCCGACAGGAAATTTTGGTTGATCTGGTATTTTGCTGTACTTTTGCATCATTTTTTCGTATATTGCAGCCGCTTCCTGGGACTCGTAGCCATAGTCATCCTGGTCGGGCTGGTCGGGGCCCTCCCGGGTGACCGCTGTGTTGTCGTGGTCCACCGCGTCCGCTAGCACAGACTTGTTGGCGGACTTGATGACCTTCAGAGTCTTCTGTATCTTCCGCAGGGCCTTGGGGTCGCGCATGGCGAGCAGCTCCTCCCGCTTTCTTTGTGCCTCCAGCTTCTTCTGTTTCTCCTCCTCATCTTTTTTTGCCAAAAATTTCAATATATTAGCGGACAGTTTATCTTTCTGTTTCTGCTCTTTTTTCGGAGGATCGAATCTTGCTTTGTAGAATGATTTGCTCTGAAAAAAAAGAACCTATGTTGTAGTACAAAAAATAATAAACCCACCAAGGTAACAGTTCTCAAGTTATAACTTTTCAAATGTCGATTAATATCTTGGATTTAAAAGTTGCAGACGGTAAATTGTATTAGAGAAATAATTTCCCAGGAGCATCGAAGAACCAACAATAAAAAACATTTCGCAAAAATATCAATCTCAACTCACAGATGATTGTTGATGTTGATTTCGCTGAGCAGCCAATAACGTTTCTCGGAACTCCATTTCTAGGTATTTATTATATTCTTTTTCTACAAAATATAAATATTATATCGGCATCATTCACTTTTCACAAATTATTTACGTTTCACAGCAAAATACGTGTCAGAATTAACTTCGACACACAATCCGACCATTTTCTGGAAACGTACTAAATAGAGTTCATGGTTTACGTCACGCACATCTGAAAGATTTGTAGTTCGTGAACTAGTTCGATTTTTACAAAAGTCAAAAGTAACAAGCGTAATTTTAACGTCAAAAACTTCTCCTATTTTTATTTAACAATATATTTTAACACTGAAATTAATTGCTTACGAGCAATATTTGCAAATTGTCAAAAGTACAAGTCAAAGATTACTTATTTTAAAAAAGTACAGAAGCTACACACACGATAAACTAAACTTCACTCACTGTGTACTTTCAAAATACACAGTCACACGTAAAAGTCACTGATCATCAAATTCTTAAATCTCACAAAAAAAACATTTCCACCAAGAAAATATCACACGTAGAACGTCTGTTAATGCGGAGCGCGAAAAACTGACTAACTAACGACGATAACAAAATGCTATGGCTCTAAAGTGGTGGTGATATCATTAACTGGGTGACTCATACAACAAAGACCAGTCTGTGATTGGTCGAAAATGATGACGTAAACGAACCGCAGGTAGCAGTAATGACGCACACTACAATAATGACGCTCGGATTGCTCGGTTCAAACTCCCCGCACCCCGCGCTTCCATCGACTAAAATGTGGTGAAGTGCATCTTCGTGGATGAAACGACCTATACTAACAGTGTCCTGATTATATGAAGTTAAAAATTCTCTTATGGACGATGGAAATGGGTGGGTATGGTATGGGTAGGTACTTAACTTATATACATCTTTGTGTAAGGTGATAAAGAAATTAGTTTTGTAGGCAAAATGCACATTATGTAAGTTCTTACTTTGAGGCGCTCTTGCTCCTAAACCATTGATTTTACAAACAAGTTATGTAAACATCAAATGTATGGAATTTCGTCTAGTTTATTAATGTATTAATAATTTTATCATATTGTATTAAAATAGGAAAGGAGCAATAAATTGTCTAAAACCTTTTTAAATGCGGTATTTTTTCAATATGACAGTGCGAGCGGCAACCGTACGTGGTCGCAAAATTAAAATTTGGAAAGAGCACATCAAAATCTAATAACTCCTGGAAAACTTTCCAATCAATTGAAGACATGCATAGTCTTGGCACAAGTTAATCATTAACTTTGCTTTAATTAAGATACAGGGACGTTATTACCATTTTATTGTTATTACTAATTGTTACATAATGACCCCACTTAGAAAATTGATTTATCAGCAATAAATATAAGAAACTTTTGTTATTCACTCATTAATGAAGCTTTTTGCTAATCACTTTAAAGTCTGTTCGCCTTTGCGACGACGCGACTGCGAAATTTGCTTGGAGTCATCGGACGAAATTCTATTAGTATGTGCTCGGCGACTGGACTTTTGACAAAAACAATTTAAAAAGGGTTAAATATGTTTGGGGTTATGACTAAAATAAGTATAGCCTGACCAGGAACATAAAAACCCTGGCATAGAGGCGCTTTAATTGCATTTGATAGTGCAACACTGAGTACAGTCGTACATGTGTTAAATTAATAGGCTAAATTTATGTATCAGGATTCAGGATTACGGGCTAATTTGATATTTTCATAAATTAACGAAAAATATTATTAAAGGTAACCTGGTTTAAATAAATTAAATGAAACCATCAATCGAGCTAGTAGGATTTATTTTATTATTCATCAATAATCAAATTCAGAACTTGAATATTCAACTACAATGTCTGTCTGCACATGAACGCTTCAAACTCGGTACTTCTTTCCCAATTCCATAAAATTCAAAACTTATAAAGTGACAAAAAACTTTAAAATAGGTAGTTGAAACAGACTACAGCTAATTTTCATAGTGGACTGTACTATACGATAAACATGTCAGTCAATTTGACAACCTTTGTCGGAAACATTATTCAATGAAAATATTGTCCGAACCCTTAATATTTCTCTTCGACAAATACATTAACACATCGTGAACCACTTTTCTTTCACGACTATAAAAATATTTTAGCAATTTAATTCACAAAATCAATTGCAAACATTTAAAATAAAGTTTGTTTACACTTTGACAACAATAGACTGACATGCAAGGTGACATGTCAATGAAGTTTTCAGTTACTGTTGCCATTAAAAGAAATTAGTACCATTAGTTTTCCGCAACATGGCGAGGGTTTTTATGTTCCTGGTCAGGCTATANGTTTTCCGCAACATGGCGAGGGTTTTTATGTTCCTGGTCAGGCTTATAGTATGAATTGGTGTCAAAAGTTCCTTTGTTTTTTCTAAATAGAATCTAAATAGAAGCCCATAATACCAATAACTAGAAATAATTCAAAATTTCGAGTCAAAAAGCTAACACTTTTAAGAACAATAAAATAATTATATTATAGTACACCACGACTGCCTACTTTGGCCAAACAATAAAAGATAATAGCTCTTAAGACAGATAAGAGCTTTCTTTGTTCGTTTATTGCTGTTTTTAAAGCTCTATAGAAACAAAGATAATACGGGAGACTTTTATCTTGTAGTCTGAATCTATTGTTCTTATGATAAAATCTCATCTTATCAGTGAGTCAATAAGTTAACACTTGTAAGAAAAATAATAATTATAAATTAGGTCCACCACAACCGCCTATTTTGGCCTTACAATACAAGATAAAAACTCTTAAGACAGATAAGAGCTTTCTTGGTTTGTTTACTTATTGTTGTTTTTAAAGCTCTAAGAAACAAAGATAATACGTGAGACTTTTATCTTGTAGTCTATATCTATTGTTCTTGCGATAGAATATTCATCTTATCAGTGAGTCAATAAGTTACCAGTTTGTTTTAACAATAATAAAATTAACACCTCAGCGTCCTTGTTTATTTCTTGTTTTAAAAGCTCTATTGAAACAATACTAACTTAAGACTTATTTAGTGGACTGGATTTGATAGTAATAGAAAATCCAAAAAAAATCACTTGAAAAAATTGAACCGTATAAAGTGGGAATCGTTCCCACGACCTTTTGCTAGCCGGGCGTCCTGCTCTTATGCAGTTAAACGTGACCCCGTACTTTTACTTGATACTGTTATAGCAGTTGTATGTAGGTATCTCGCGCAGTGTTTTGTGTCATGTTATTGTGTGTGGTATTTTATTAAAAATGGATAACGGATTCGAATACTAAACGAACGAGCCTAATCTCGATGGATTTAAGTCGTTTTATTCCGGACTTCATATGGCCACCTTCCAAGCTCCATCATCAGATCAGCTCCATGTTATCATAATATTGCATGGTCATCCGAATTACATGACAATGTGTATGCAAAATTTCAGCTCAATCGGTTGTCCGGAAGTGGATCTAATTCAGCTTGCAAGATTCCACCCATACAAATTTTCACACGCATGGAGATCGGGCCGGCCGCCGCCCTTTAAAAATCAATATCTTGGAAACTAATTGACGTATTGAAATAATTATTTTGAGTAATGTATTTTGTCTTCATAACAGAGAATACAGGAAGCTAAAAAACAAAATTAGTGAACATTCTTCGTTGTCGAATTTAAATCTGCTGGATTAGGATTGATTAAGGAAAACGGGCGTTTTGGTCGTGCTGGCGCTATTTGAAGTGGCTGAATTTCAAAAGATAATAATTTTATTGCTTAGATTATTCTGCCTAATATTTTTATTCTTTGGTAAACTAGTTCACTAAATGCGAGTTAGTATGGCTGAAAATACAGCAACTCCAAGCTGTAGCAAACTTTATGGCTTACATTTTTTTTAATGGAATGACATTTGTGACATTGACATTAGTTTATGGTCGAGTCAGCTATCTGTCTCTTTCTCTCCTTCTCAGTGTTGCCAGAAGGTTACTTTTGTAACCTTTTAGGTTACTTTTGAACTGCTGTGGTTACTTTTAGGTTACACTAATGACAAGGTTACTTTTAGGTGATTTTTCAGAAATTGTAGAATTAACTTTACAGGTTATTCAGTAAAAAATATTAATAGTGACAATTTAAAAATAATGTCATAGAGTGCATTTAAACTTGAATTTGATTTATTATTTGTTAAAAAAAATGAGTTTTAGCGAATAATTTTTGATAATAAAACGCAAATCCATGAAACGTTTATACGACTGGTCACTTTTCGAATTTAGATGATCAATTTGTATTCATTTTCCATCCATGAACAACCTTACACAATCATCGCTCCGCACCCCCCCCCCCCCCCGTATGAAGGTTACTTTTGATTCAAAAAGGTTACTTTTTTTATATTTCTGGTAATTTCTGACTAGACCCGACTGGCAACACTGCTCCTTCTTTTTGTAAAGTTTGACGGATACCGAAAATATGGTTGGTGATAATTTTTAACTTTTCTTCACATTTATCTTTGATAATCGATGCAATCTTTGATGGAAATTAATTAATACTATGAGTGGAACGTGGTATAAGTGAAAACTGTGTATACTTTATTAGTATTTACGTGACTTTCCCAAAATGTTTGATGTAAATACAACTTGGTTGTTCTTCTGCAGGCCACCTCCAAGAAGAAGACCAGGAAGCTGAGAGGACACGTAAGCCATGGTCATGGCCGTATCGGTTAGTATTACATACATTTTATTTGTATTTAGGTTTTTTATATGCGAATTATTGGTATAACCTCTCCGGCCTAACTCATGTTCTTAATTTTAGGGACGTAGCTCATAAGTTCATAACCTTAGCTATTTTATATTACTCTGTCATCTAATAAAATATGAGTTCTTATTTGGAGTTTTGGGCTGACACTGTGTAGGTTTGTTGTCGATACGAAAAGAAGAAGTTCTTATTTTACAGTAAATCACATATATCAAATAAAGTGTTCATAGTGTTGTTTTGTTTTAGGTGGCGAGTTTTATGTTAAAGACTCTAAACAATTAAGTTCTCGAGATAAATAAATACCCACTCAATAAATACCGGCCAATAATCAAAAGTCACGTGTATCTCTCTAACTACTTGACATTGGCAGAATCACTGCGTGGCGCCCTGCGCGCTTCAGCGGGACAGTCCATCCCAAAAAAAAAAAAAAAAAAAAAAAAAAAAGTGTTCATATGTATTACCATCTTTTTCAGGTAAGCACCGTAAGCATCCTGGAGGTCGCGGTAACGCTGGTGGTGAACATCACCACAGAATCAACATGGACAAGTACCATCCCGGGTACTTTGGCAAAGTAAGTGCATGCTTTCATTGTTGTTGTCTTACCTGTAGTCTGAATCTTATTACATTATGACATGAATTTTAGTCAGAAATTCTACAATCTCTAGTATTGCCTACAAGTTTGTTTATTATTCACAGCTCATCATTATCCTGTTGTTAAAAAGGAATGTATCTTGCTCTAATTAAGGTCCATATTCATATTCTATGGAATTAATTCTTGACATGAGGTTTTTGGAGCCCAGACTCCTCCAATCCAGTTGTAGGCTTATACCCTGCATTTGTACAAGTCTTATTTTTCTGACAGTTTTCTAATAAAAATGTATCTTGAAATAGGCTAAGGAGTTTTGTGTCAAAGTTAAATTAATCAAATTAAGAAAAAGTATTTTATTGTTAAAATAGAAATTATACTTATTTCCTTTTATTTTAGTAGTTCTACACACTACTAATATTTTACTTCGCTCAATTACAGCTTGGTATGAGGAATTTCCACTTGAGGAAAAACAAGGACTTCTGCCCCGTCCTCAACCTGGACAAACTGTGGACACTGGTGTCGGAGCAGGCTCGTCTGAAGTACGCCTCTGCCACAGACAACAAGGTCCCTGTCATCAACATTGTCAAGGCTGTAAGTATTTAATTTAAACTTTAATTTATATCTAATTTTTCGTTTTATGTACGGTTTATTCCCATTGTCCCCACCGCTGGAGAGAATGAGAATGAAAGTAAATTATTTTTTTCCCTTTGTCCACACTCCTCTGGTGGCTGGGGACATAATAGAAATAAAAAATGTTTGTTTTGTTGGTTTAGCAAGAATACCTTTTACTGCAGAAATTAACATACAGTTCAGGATGATAACCTTTTGCTGTAGCAACTAATTCAGGACTTTGTCAAGCAAAGGCTGAGTTTGCACCACCTAACTTAACTGCAATTTTATTATAATGATAACTGGTGCTTTGTGTACCTATGGAGTTTGACTTTGTTAAAGTAAGATGGTGCATCTCAACCTAAGGCCTCAGCCTCGAACTTAGCGGGCAGCAGGGCGGGAGCGGTGGCGACGCTGGAGCGGGGCGGGCAAAGCAGACCCGTTCTCGAAACAAGCGGGCAGCTCGCGCGGCGCTTTAGCGGCGAAGTGTTGTGTTCGGGGTTGTGTTGTCGAGATATTTGTTTTTATTCGCTAACGAAATGTCTGAATAACGGCGACAATTTTATTTCGAATCAAATTTATTCCTAACGCTCGATTTATTGTGGGCAAAATAAGGAGTGCGCTGCCCGCTCGTTGCCCGCTCCCGCGCCGCTGTTTTCGAGAACCGGTCTATTTGATTTTACGCATAAGATCCTGCCGCTCCCGCGCCGCCGCCCCGCTGCCCGCTAAGTTCGAGGCTGAGGCCTTAGTGTCATTTCAATAGAGACTGATCAAAAACTGCTCTATATTATCCTAAATTTCTCCAGTCATATTTCGACGAATATTCTCTCGCTCATTTTAATTCATGAAATGTTTGCTTGTTTCAGGGTTACTACAAGTTACTAGGCAAAGGCAAACTTCCCAAGCAGCCTGTGATAGTGAAAGCTAAGTTCTTCTCAAAATCTGCAGAGAGGAAAATCAAGGCTGTTGGAGGCGCTTGTGTATTGTCTGCGTAATTTAAGTGTAAAATAAATACAAAAAAATACTTTTTTCTTTCATTCAATCATACTGTTTTGAAATAATTGGGTAGTTAGAAGACACCAAGATCAACCAAAAAGGGCACCAATTCCAAAAACACATTTTTAGTCTGGCCCTTATTTATTTGAAACTGTATTATACCTAAAATAGGGTGAACTTAATGTCTTACACATGGCATTCTCTTCTCCCAGTCAACTTTTGGGGCAACTTCTTTGTATGTTAAGATGTACCTGCTAAAGATCATTAACGAATTTATGCAGCAGCAATTTGTTACTGCCGCATTTCCTTCCATTCATAGGACAATTAACTCCAAATCACTTCGTAGTCGCCGACAAAAGACAGACTAATTAAAGTATTTAATTGAAACAAAATCATTGAACTAGTAATATTTATTCACTTGTTCCTTATTACAGGATAAAATATTTTTGCATTAATGATAATCAGATAGTAAAATAAATGGAAAATATAAAATCATTAATTATTTTGCACTGGCAAACACGATTTCCTAAACAATCTAATAAAACAATATGTACTATACTCATATAATAATTAAAAGCATGAGATTAATATAAACAATGATTAAAATTGATAGCTTCTACTTAAATATAGGCATAGTATTAATATTAATTACTTTTCATAAAGTATTATTGTTAGTAATTACTAATACTAGCATTGATTGTTAAATTTGAGAATTCAATCAAGACATTCAGATCAGTCACTTAAGTAATTTCACCATGGCATGGACCAGCTGCAATGTTTAAGTATAAATAGTAAGTGTGTGTGTGTGAGTTGGCCTTATTTGCTCTGGTGACGTTTGTGTCTGGACTGTCTCTGAAGGTCGCACCTGCTGCTTGACCTTTTTTCTTGCCGCATCACTCTCAGCATAGTACATAGCGAGCCTGGTCTTAATGGCAGCAAGAGCTGCACCATTGATTTCATCATGGAAGATGTTGGTATATCTCCACTGCTTCACCAGGGGACCTTTTTTTCTCTCTTTCTTTATTTCCTTTACATCTTTTGCTTCCTGCATGATATTATTTTCTGTTGGCTCTGTTTGATTATATGGATTGTTGTCAATTGCAAGCGTATTCGGTTGAGGAGGTTCCTGTTTGGTTTGCAACACAATATAAGCTGTGGTAGGCTGAGCAGGCCGTGCTGGCAATATCAATCCCATAGTTTGACTCCCATTCTGTGTTTGATAGAAGTTATTAGATGTGCCAGATAATGTAGCAGTCTGATACTGGTTTTGGAAGTAATTTTCAGCTATATTCACAAGGTGCCCACTGCCAGGGTACGTGAGCTGAGCAAACTGAGGCTCTGGGGGAGGAGGGGGAGGCTGGACCACGGGTTCAGCCGGGATTGCCACTTCCATGTTTCTTTTTGACTTAGGCATAGTAGCTCCTATGTTGTCAGGATCATAGGCTTTAATGTAATCTTTCCACATCTTTGAAATGTTTATTTCTAATCCTGCCACCTTATCTAGTCGTATGAAGTCTTTCAGGCGATGTGTGTGCACTATTGAATAAATGTGATTTTTAATTTGATCAACAACACCGGTTGGTAATCGAACTTCTCCTGAGCGACGGTGGCTGTTTTTGCCTCGATTGTCACTGGGAAACATGACTCCATCATCCATTTTTTTACAGAGGACCCTTACTTTTCTTTCAGTTATAGCATGAATGTTTTTAAAGGCAGTTTGACATACTTGTGTTTCTCTTCCCTTCACTCTGACAAAATATTCAAATGTGCAAGTTCGCCGGCTGCTAGACTTAACTCTTTTTCTCTTGACATCCACTTGCCTCATGAGCCCAAACAAGTATGCATTTTGTTCATCATGTGTTTTCATGGAGTAAAAACCCTGAAAGGTTTTGAGCCTAATATCTTCAGGCACTTTCTGAAAACACCTACGGCGACAGTTGCAGTCGGGCCCAGGCTGTTTCGGTGGCACCACTTTTCCGTTTGCATTTATGTATTCCAGACCAGCTATTCTTAAACGCTTCTGTTTTTGTTTGTGCCATTCTGAAAATATACAATTTCTTTAGATATTTTCTGCATAAAATTGTTTAACTGAATTTGCTTTACTGAGCACATTATAGCACATTACTTTTTAGAGAAAAAGTACTGAATTATTTACGAAAGTCTGAAATAAGCTTAACTTAAAGTAATAAATATTACTCAATATGTTTACTAATAATTCTTAAATTAAGTTATAGTATCTTTTTACAATGACATTATCAAAAATGTAGTATAGAATATTGTGAAAAAATAAATAAAATCGCAAAGCAAAAAAGCGCTAAAACATTCTCCCTTAGCATTCTCCCATGAAGATTCCTTGAATAACATTGCTCAAACTGGACATACATGATTATGACTCCAATAGTTAATAAAAATAGAATGACGCTATTTCTTTATTTACTTTCTGCCACCGAACACAACAAAAACTATTACAAAGTTTCACAAAATAGCAAAAAGTAGTAAGAGGCAATAGTAGATGGTATGAACGATGGCCTAACATTCGAGACAAATAATGTTTAAAGACAGTACCGTAGAAACAGTTCTATTTAAAACAAAGGATAAGGTAATCACAACATACCTTCTGGATTACGTGAGCGTCTTTTTACAACTTTCCCGTTTTTAGTGAGTTTTACTTTTCTGTCGGCGCTGGGGACATCCGCCATTTTATTACCAAAACATGATGTGACTGACACACGCATATCCAAATCATCTTAACCGCCCTTATTATTTTATAAAACAGACCAATTATCAAGATTTTTAAATTATCAAACAACAAAATGTTATTAAAAATTGTTAATGAAATTACAGTATTCTTTATTCCATTTTTTTTTTTCAAGTTTTAATAATAAAATTAATCGTAACGTAATGTCTCCTTTGCATGTCAAATTAATAAATTATTTAAAAAACAAACTGTCACTAGTCACCTGTCAAATGTCATGGCCGTCATGGCACAAAGTTGGATATATTGGACGGAACTTGGCCAAACCTGTCTCATCTGTGCTCCAATCTGTGGCCAAGGCGTATGGTGTGAACACCATCTCGATTACTTTCTCCTTCTTCCTCCTTGCGTGTGACGGTGTGACGCCCATACTTCGGTGTGCGACGCGACGGGCTAGCGCTTCGACTTGGCCAATTTGCCGAATAGTGTACTTGTGCCATTAGGCAAATTACTAATTTCCAAGACTGTAAGCTTATTTTATTTTTGAGCTTTTTGAGCAGTGTTGCCAGAAGGTTACTTTTGTAACCTTTTAGGTGGTTTTTGAACTGCATTGGTTACTTTTAGGTTACACTAATGAAAAGGTTACTTTTAGGTGATTTTCGGAATTTGTAGAATAGACATGTTGACACACCACCAATTAATTGACGTACTTTTTAAAACTGTCAAAATGAAACTCTCCCATAGATTTTGTAAGGCACTACAAGCGATATGTTCATCGGCACTCATACGGCACTTCAATTACAATGCGAACAGAAATCATCATAGAGAAAAGTAATACATAGGAAATAGAGAACCCTCTCTGTCAAATTTTTGAGCCTACTAATTGACAGCCTGGTGTTAAATTCCCTGTACTTAACCTACGTACGTAACGCTCACATACATACATAGTACACGCACACATACATACATAAAGTCCACGCACACATACACACATTTCACGCACACATAGGCCCTCATAACCTTCAAAGAATTATTGTTTTTATGATGTGCAATGTAGAATTTTTTCAAATCCATTATTTTGAAAATATTTATCTTTATGGTGTACGTATTGTATTATTTTCAAAACAATGGATTTGGAAAAATTCTACATTGCACATGGAAATGCAAATAAGTAAACAAAAACTTTTGAATTTAATAATTTTACTTTATTTATGAACACACATAATATTTTACACCAAAAGCGTCTTTTCGCAAAGTTTTCAACAACACTAAAAAAGCATTTGCACATTGAGAAAACTCAGATCACTTGTGAACGTAACAGAAAGTTTCTTCGCGATTCACGAAGGAACGAACAAAACTCCGATGAACCAGAACAGCAGCAGGTACGAAGGAATGAACTTGAATTTGACTCGACGACTCTTCAATACTTTAATATTCACCTCCAAGCCGGTGCTTGTCCCTTCAACGCCGTGCTTTATTCAGCGTTTTAACACTCTTGACTGTCTAACGCTGACCAAATAAACCGAAATCCTGTTAAAACAGGTGCTGAAATTACCAGATAAGGCACCGCTCAGCATGAGCCTGCTCCTCACAATATCCCTTCGCAAGAGGGACAGACCAAACAACCTATTCTATTAAACGTCCTAATCAGTAGATACAATTATGTGAGTATTGTTCCGATCTGAAGTAGTTGAATGCTAAATTCTAAATCTGGATGCAGATACCGATCACAGAGACACCGCCGGCCTCTCCGCATGTCTTGTCAAGGTACCCTAAAATTATCAATCTCTCGTTCTCTACTGCATACCGAAAAACATTGATACAATCACAAACTACTTACTAAACCTCGTCACCTTTGACAAACCAGACAAGACAGCAACTACTAGAACGGAAGGTTAGTGTGTAACATTTTATCTTCTGGAACACTAAACCTTGTCAATTACGTGAACTCAGGTTCAACAAGTCGTCATCTCTAAGGGTTTTATCGGTAAATACGAAATCTATACGACCCAACAAGTGCCTATAATGGTAAGCTTGATCTCCAGTGAGGGCTCATCACAACTCGACCCCACACAACCGATACAATACACAAGACTCCAGCTCAGCATCTCTTAAAAACCATCTGGATGTCTACAAAATATCAGAAACCATAATCAGCAATGGGGGATTTCTCATTCTTTCATTCATTTCATGTGCGTTCACTAATTTTGCTATCTGACAATCAAAGCATAGCCTATACTCGAAACTAAGGGAGGAAGGGGCACATTCAGAGCCTCTATTGGAACTGTCTCTCTAACTTTTCAACTTGAAAAACATCACTTCCTTTCGGTTCAGTCGGGTAAAAATAGCTCTGTCAGCGCCAAATATTATCTCCCAGGTCAATTCAATCAAATTTATCTGACGATCTAGGTCGTTTTACGGGGAAAACAACCTACTTAGTGGCATCTCCTGGGTTCAAATCCAAAGGTATATATTCCAAAAGTTCGGGAAACTGGATATCCAGAGACCCCACAGAGATTCACCAGCAGCCTTTGCAACGACTTCAACCAGGGTGGCTAGGGTGGTAAACTAGGCTAAATCTTTGCTGTCCCGTTTCTCACCACAGCAAAAGGTACCTGCTTAGCACCTCGAAGTGACCTCTCTGGCTTTTCTTAGCAGGGCTCGAGGCCGACCCTCAAAATACAGAATCTCCACCATGTTCTTACCACATGGTGACCTCCACGTCAGGATCAGGTAACATGTAATTTTTTAGTATGTTGAGTTGGCCCCCCAAGGTATCGTTCCTAAAACATACCTGGCAAAAATCCACTTTAAAAACTTATAAAATAACCTGGCCTTGGTGGTTAAACTAATGGCCTAAGGAAAACAGTCGTAGTTATATACTTGCTTCTTGAAGCTCGACAGCAAGATTTATTTGCTAGACTAAATCGTTTATCTATTCTTCTACTACCTTTATGCCCTGTGGGTCTAGACAAAATTCACTTTAAAATCACAAACCAGTCGAAGGATGGTCGATTAGCCTTTTCGATTCGATCAAAAAGTGCTACTTGTCTATGGGGGCTGGTATTACTAATCTAAAACTATATTAAAGATAACTTTAATTTTCTTACTAAGCATAAAAGCTTAAACAATTTCACTTCCTGATAAAGGCCTTAAACCCAACAGTAGGTATCTAAAATGTGACCTTTACGAGGCTTCTCGTAGACTAGCTTATGCATATTTTTCTCCTACCATCTACATCAGCTGCTGACATGACAAAACATAGTCTCACCTGAATAATTTCAAGATTAAGTTAATAAACCTTGACCTACGAGTAAGTTCGGCACCGTTACGACATCATACAAACAACTGGGAAAAATGACAGCAAATCCCAAAAACAACATAATATG